CTCCATGCATGGAGGTTGCTCATTACATTATTGTCAATGCAAACTAACACAGCTGTAACAGAGTTCAAAATCTTGGTCTCGGTGGGAGAACTGGGCAGCTATCTTCCAAAGTCTGCAAAGCCTGTCAGCACTGACACAAGAATGCAATAAGGACGGTAGGTATGGGAAACAGAAATGACCTCGACAATCTTGGTCTCCCCCTAAGAAGTTCGTGTAACAGCTGAGCACATTGTAATTTCAGCGCACTAATACAGACCTGGGCCGGTGCCACAGCGCTTCAGCCAGATGCACCAGCGAGGTATGGCCTACATTCCACGCGTGATTGAGCTGGACAACTGCCAAGCATAACATCCGGTCCGTTTGCGCTAGCCTGCGCCTTTTTTTTCCACCGTGTGCCGCGCGTCGAGATGGTGTCGCCTGCTCGTTCCCGCCAGTTGTTTCCGTCAGTTCCACCAATGATCCATCATTCTTTCAACTCGTAAGCTGATCCAGATTTTCCTTGTTTTGCCATGTGGCCCGGACTAATATGAAGACCGTGTGATTTCCTAAGCAGATTGAAGTTAAACCCGTTATTAAGGTTCAAACACCTCTTCGGGTTTTTTTTTTCCAGTAAAATTCTCACAGCTCAGCTGTTCGTTCCGGTAAAGTACAGTTCCCTAGCCCTGCCGATATTCAAGCATGTGGAAAGACCTTGAAAATGGAGGTGAAATTCCATTCATTCAGCATGGGGGAGATGACATGATAAGTTTATTCTTCACTTGCAATATCAAACGCTTACCTTGGAGCCAAATTAAAAGCCAGTTCTTCACAACCGCATTTGCGAGTAAAAAAAGACACGATATTTCCCACAGAACCTTTCTTGCATGTTGAAGAGCGCCCTCAAGTGGCACAATGATACAGCCCAAAATCAACGTGCGGGCGGCCGGGCCTCTGGTTCAACAATTTCCCTTCTCGACGCTGCCTTATTTATATCAGTACACACAAAGAGCTTGTACTGAAATTGTCAAGAATTGGTTTGAAGTCATGGTGCTTGACGAATGTTCACACGAAAACCACACCAATAAATCATTCTTTTGTATAAAATAAAGGTTGGCCCAAGTCTGCTACATTTCAAAACGTTTCTTCTTGAATGCAACTTAAATGCCGTTTAATGTTCCCGACAAGCGTCCATTGTTATCAGAAAGTTCCTGTGGCTCTCGTCATTTGTTGCAGATTCCCCGTTGTCCTACTGTAGCCTTTCCGAAGCCTCCGGCACCGAAAAAAGTGATAGCATTTCCCCCTCAGTGAATAGCTCCAGCAATTGATGAAATCCAAGCCCTTAGGCTGTACTAAGGGGAGATGTGAAGCAAGAAAAACACATGTTTATATTTCATTGATTCTAGTCCTCCGCCATGAATAATATTGAAGCTGTTGAACCGCTAAGATTTGTGTCATAAACAATGCAGAAAAAGTGTCCGAATAAAAGATGAACAAAGTGAATGAGACAATAATTCCCAGGTATAGTAGGCCACTGTCAGCCCTACTTTTTGGCGGCACGTCTCGCATGCATTTTTTGTCGCCGTCTGTGTCGCGAGGATGCAGTAAGTCAAGCTATTGAAGCACGTGTGTACATGTTTATGAGATGAAATAATTTCTGACCTGACAACTTCAAATTACACATCCTGAGGGATTTCAAATTCGGGGTTAAAAACTGAGCCTGGGGCGAGTGACCCTTGACCGACTCGGAAGGGCCAGTGCAAAATAATGAAGTCCACCATGGAAAGAGTGATAGATCGCGGGCTTGGTTTACGCCAAACCCACGGTTATTTGGTCATCTCAAAGCTAACCACGTAGTTCAGTATTTCCGATTTACAAACAATCTAAAGTAGACCGTCGTTAATCTTCGTTTGCCCCTGTTTCTTTGCCAGATTTCATATTTTCTCTGACGGACAGGTCCTTGTAAGTGTCAGAGCCGTATGCCGAGTCCGGCCAGAATGCTTGAACTTAACCGTCAAAGATTCTAAACACGCCTCCAGATGAACTGATAGTATGTTCAGGTGTTTATGTGAAACATCGTGGAAACGTAACGGTCATTTTCCACTAGTGGAAACGTAATGAGGCTGTTACCGATGTCAGGAATAAATTAAATTGCATGCCCAATGCAAGATGTGGTACTTTCCATGGATCCGGTCCGGGTCTATCAACTCAACCAACAAGTGTGTATGTAGCAATGGTTCACTGAGGGGATCAATGGAGCATGTGTCCAATTTTCCCAAAATCTTAGGCAGTAGATGTGGGCTATTTTTTTTTTTGATTGATTTTCAACAAAATACCCCCAAGAGGAACGGGTCACATGAGCCACTGTGCCGTGCCGTGAGGAGCGGCGGAGGTGGCGCGTCATTCACGACGATCTTCAGTAGTATGGGATGACGTGCGGGTGCGTGATCGGCTTCATCTTCATCAAATCCCCGGGAACTGGACGCCAGCTGAGGCACCAATACTAAAGCCATCTCCGACCACCCAAAGAGCCTGCAAGTGCCAAATAATGATGCGCAGGGTCCGGGTCGGGGAAGCCCATGGTTTATGTTAACGCTGCCAAGATTGGGGCGGGGATCGTACTACAAACATGCTGCGTTTTAATACGGCACCATCTTTGCATGTTATCACAGGTAACTTCGGGACGGGATATTGAAGTTTAGTAAGTGCCACACACGGCGATGTGAACTATTAAAATTATTGGTCCCCGCGTTAAAGCATAGTTTAAGAGATGTCAATCCCTCACAAGTATGTAGTTGCTCGTGGTTTAAATGGTGGAAACAATGAAATGAAAGTCTACCATCAAAAAGCTTTCTCTCAATTACATGTATCGCATACGCAAATGCTCTGTACATAAAACCCAGAAATATACAACTCATTCTCGCACAGGCAAATGATCTAGGCTTATGCTTTCTATTATTATTTCCAACCTTTCCTGCACGAAACCACATGATGGTCATGGTGCATATTGCCTTGGAAATGCCTGAGGGTTATAGGCGGAGGTTCGTCAACATCCATTATAAGCGGATTGGTTCCTTTTCTTTGGATATCCAAAAATAAACAGCACCACCGGCCCTCAGTCCATGTGGCAGGACAAAAAAGCTTCCCACCCGCAAGCTGAACTGTTCTTTCAGACGGAAATAAAGATTTTCATTCCTTACACAAATTTCAGTACAAATACAGGAACGATCATCTGACGTATAATAAGAACTTTAATCGTCCACGGAACTTTCACAGGCGACAGACAGCAGGATACACATGGACAGAGTATGGAAAGAACATTCGGGGCTGGGGGACAGGAAGGGAAACAGCTGACAATATTCCGCCATAAGAGGCTTCAAAACTGGGGAATTACAATCTCTCCAAAGTGGTAGAAGGTGACCTAGTTTTGTCTTGTTTTGTTTTTCCCAAGGCGCCCAGTTAATGAGCATCCCTGCTTCTTCTTAAAATAACTGGTACAGAATCTGACAATTACAAAACTATAGTCCGACGTCTTTTTTGTTTCACAAACAAGTTTGAAAGACGTACTCGGAGAACTCCTCCTCTGAGAGCTTCGCAAGGGGTTTCAAACACATGTATTGTATACCCGAGCAATATCGGCGTTTGAAAAGATGGTCATTTAACAATCTCCCTGAAACAATGAGAGGTATTTTGTTTCCTTTTAAATCGTGTGTCAAGGAGTTTTATGTAATTGGAAATACACAAAGCTTTACACAATGCCACTTCGTTACCATTAATAATCTCCAAGTACTCCAAATGCATTATGGTCCTTCGAACTAGATCAGTTTCTCGCAAAATATGTTTTCAAACCGAGCCTGAGATTCTCCTGCAAAAGTACAGTTACCCCTGGCCAAACGTGTTGTTTCGCTACTGGATTGTTAACCTTTGCCCCCCTTCCAAGGAGAAGCGAGAGAAAAAAAACACTCCGAGGGATAAAAATACCCGCCAAGTTTCCCACCTGGTAAGCGGCCCAGAACTTTCGGGAGACGGACAGCGAACGTTTCCGCTCCTGGAAGCTTCTCACACGGACTTTCTCACTAACACAGTCGTGTTATCTCTGCCTCAGCGAGTTCGTCATATGCGTTTTCGCTTCGTTTTTCCCCGTTTCCACCAAGAGAGAAAAGATCCACGGCTTGGCCATTCTTTTCAGGGCACGTGCGCAGGGCAACACAACTCTCTCGAACTGCGTGACTACGCATAAACGCGCGTGAATGGATCAAAGGAGAAGAGACCCCGGCGCGGGTACGCGGTGGGGGAAAAAATCTCTCAAAGAACACGGGGGTTTTGTATAAATATTTTTTCCCAAGTACGGGATAGACTAAACATCCGGAACGTCTTTTGTGTCGGAAAGAATAGCAATTGTTGACAGCGAGCGTCAATTCTTCTTTTTGGTGGTGGTCTTGTGGGGGGGGGCACGGTTCTACCCTTTTTTCTTTTAACCAATTCTCTGTTTTCCTCGATGCTTTTAAGGTTGCATTTGCGGTCGGGGGTTGGGAATATATTTATTTTGGGTTACGTGCACTGTTTGGTAAAGTGCACGAAGACTGAAAAAAGGTTCTTTTAGCTTGGACTGTTCCTCTCTCTAAGTTCCTGTACCTTGTGAATGCTTTAGGGAAAAGGCAGTCCATATTAAAGCGGTTTATGTATATATTGAGTCCTGGATCTATTGTTACGATTTAAAAAAAATTTAAATGGCAAACGGGCAACTTTGTCCAAAAATGTCCTTCATATTGGCAGGAAATACAGGCCTGTATAAGTTTGGCAATAATTTTGTTCAGCAATATTTGATAGTACTTCTTTTCACCGAACAAATTGATACATTCCTTATTAATTAAACAACGCAGAAATGGGAGACTGACACTGAGAAAATACGGGGCAAATGGTCAAAATCATAGGTTAACTTGCCCATCACCCAATCCCCTCCTCTGGACACACGTTTCCTTCTCAGTAAAGAATGAAAAACTCCAAGGATTGTGCTCACGATACACTGCGCCATACAAAACAAACTAGTTGTGTTTAGTTCGTTGCTTTTTTATTCGAGAAACAGATCGACATCGACATGACCGATGAAAATGAATGGGCTGTTCTGTTTTCAGCTATACATATAGGCTTAACTTCTTCTTCACATTACTGCTTTCTTCCATGTGATCGAAAGTGAGCAAGAGTGAAGTACAAGAGTATGGAAGGCATAGCCAAGAGTGGGGGCGCTATATAGGCACACGATGAGGTTCTGTTTTGGGATTAACTGGTGATAGTCTTAAACACACATGACTTCCAGTTCCAGCTGGAGAGCGTTAAAGAGGTGAAGATGTTTTTAGGTCGGATGGACATAAATCAAGCGAGGTCGTGCCCTTCCTGATGTCAGGGGAAAACGAAGCCTTGTTTTTGAGGACACTGAAACAGCCCAGGAAAAGAGTACAGTGGCAAACTGTCTTGAAAAATGATAAACTGATAAATGAACTGGGCGTACCACTGTGACTGAACTTCAGTTTTCCACAAAAGTGGGAGTGTGACACATCCACATGAAAGGGCTATGAATAAACTGTATCTTGCTGAGCTGGAATGCATGCTTGACTCACTAGGATTTCTAATTGCGCCGGTGCATTGGGGAACTTGTGTCCTTGAGCAAGCACTTGACCACAATACACGGAGAGTGTACAGTGATCTGTTAGGACAAATGGCAGTAACTTGTTTCGTTTACAACCCAAAGCTTTTTACCTTGCACATGAATTGCTAAAAGTCCTGGGGCACTTTCCACAAGCACAAAGTTGCAAACATCCACCAAGTTTACTCAGATTGTGTTCCATCGACACCAATGCACATTATCAAAAAAGGGCTGACAACCCTTCAGAGATATTTCCGGATGCTTCTCAACACTGGTGACTTGTATTTGTCATTGTTTCACAGGCTAGTCTCAGACACATCAAAAATTGTTCACTACAGCTATGGCTGTTTAGGTACTCAACGGCTCGTTAAACAAACATGCTCAGCGAGCACCCTTAATTGCTAATTCTCACCAAAATGACACGCGACAATTTCCTTGGAAAAACAACCAAAATAGCATGGAGTGCCACTTTGCATTACATCTGAAAAAAAGGCTTCACACTACCCTGAGTTGCTTGCAAAAGAAGCATGGCAGGGTTGATCCCCGATGATTCAACATGTCCTGAATATGTACTCCACAAATGGGTCACAGGAGCTGTGATTTAAAAAAAAAATTACTCAAAAACCAGCCACCTTTCTTCATATGCTGTGGAGGCCACTTGTCTCTATGTAATCCTCGTAGAATCGGATGAGCTTGTCTGGGGTGCGTGGTTGCACCGTCTGCAGTGCTTGCATGAAGTGCCTAGCACAGACACTGTCAATGTTAATGTCTTCTTGCATAGCAGCTAGACCGGCCTCACGACACAGCGCAACGACCTGATGTATACAAGTTGGATAGAAAAGCTAACTTCTTATGAATGTCTTTTCCAAACAAACAGAAAAAAGAATGTAGAAAATTTCAGCTTGAATCTAATGAAATGAGTCATCAGGACATTTTTTTTGGGGGGGGGTCAGTAGATTTCACTTTAAACTAGAAATAGCATAATGAGCCTCGTGTTTCGATGTATTACCAAGTTTTTGCTTAAAGGCCTGGAACTTCAACACAGCACTAGCGACCGACATCTCATTAACCCAAGTCAGGTCTGCCATCAGGATGCAGCTTGTGACAACAGCCAAATCACAATATACATGATGTGCAATGACAAAATTTCTGCTGCTTACCTCAGCTCCCGAGTACTTCTCTGTCTCCCCCACTAGTGATTCCACGTCCACATCAGATGCTATGGGCATGATGCGGAACTGGATTTGGAAAATGTCTCGGCGAGTCTGGGAATCGGGCAAGGTGATGTGGAGAATTCGATCCAGGCGACCAGGACGGAGCAGTGCCTGAGGAAGGAGTCAAATTATTTGCATCCAGGTGAACTGATATCAAGTTGTATATTGTATCAACCCTCCACTGCTGAGGAAACATTAAACATAAAAAAGAAAAGAAAATGTTGCAAATGAACTTGAGCAGAGTCTAGCGTCAGCATGCCAAAGAGATTTGCAGTGTTTGATGCACAGTGCTTTGGAGTACCACACGAAGCAGAGTAAAGCAGAACAGGAAAGAGGAGAAAGAATCAAGGTAGCGAGAAAAAGAGACAGCTACTGAAAGCAGTGCACAAGAGCGATAAAGAACAGCAAAACCCAGCAGGGCAAAGAGATGAGATAGCTGCAAAATACCTCACAACAGATCAGAGTAGAGATCACACCAATAAAAGGGATTTCCACAATCCACTAGAGAAAGGGCATGCCATTTGGTCTTTGACAAAAAATAAGGAAATTCCAATCTTTACAAGATTTTGTAGTGTTTTCAATTTTCAATGGCATAAGTGTAAAGTAAAAAACGATGAAACTAGCTGATCTGAGGAAAAGTTGCATGCCTGAATCAAAGAGAATGACATATATATATATATATGTAGAATGTAAATAATAATAAATAAACACGAACTAGAGGAGTGCTTTTCAACAGCATTAAAATACACATCTTACTGTTCGGGCAAAAACTATACGCAAAACACTGCCAAAACTAAGGGTACTGTGTTCAGGCATGCAAACAAAAATTCTGGAAAGCCAAATAAATCTCAAACTTAAAGCAAAGCCTTCAAAAATTCCCCTCTTGGGTGGTAGATATCTGGAGTCGGGTAGATCACATAAGCCTGTCCCAATTCCACAATGTTGACATACAACATCCTTACTTAATTCACAATTTAGAATCCAAGAGAGGTAAACGCGGTCACTTCAAGACCAAATCACTTTTTTCTAAAGATTTATTTTTCTGTTTACGCATCCTGTCAATGGCAGAAATGGTGCCTGTAAGAAAATGTCATCGATGGCCCAAAACTGTGCTAAAGTGGCACTGTTAGGGAGTAACCTTTAAAGATGCAATCCTCGTGTTTCCAGAATGGTAAACCCTGACCATTATACAATTCCCAAATTGATGTTGTTTTCAAATTAGAAAACAAAACTCAATTTCAGAGTCCTAAATTTAAATTTGCTATGCATCTACTTACACAAAAATAAATGTTACTATTAGTATTGCTTCGTGAAACTTCAACCATTGCTGAATTGCTGTAATTGATCCACAGATTTTTAAGATTCCAGCAAAACAAATCTGCAGCATTAATCAAAGTTAAAACTGCAATTATATTCATTTATTCTTTTTTTAACCAGGGTAAAGCCCCCTCAAAATATGGAGGGCCTGACGTTTCGATCCTAGCGGACTCTTTCTCGAAGGCAAAATGACAAGTGGACAGGACAAAACAGAGTAAAGTCCTGTAAGTTATAAACATTTCTCTCTTAGAGCCTTGAGGGAAGAAGATAATGAAGAAATATACGTAAACAGTCTTAGAAGTGGCAGGAAAATCTCAGACAAATATCCGAGGAAAAACCTACAGGGTCATGTAGGGACTGAGAATCCAATCCAATGAGAAGATGAGGAAAGTACCGCTGCACCAACGTGACTCCCCTAAATGTAACATTCCATAACATGAAACTGAAACTGTAAAATGAACATGCAAATAAATACTAGAGGATGCAGGCCTAAACAGCAGGATTGAGGAAGGCAGAAGTTTCCATTGTATGTGTGGGTTGATTCCTCTTGAAAAGTGAAGCATAAAGAATGTTTCATTTGTTTCCTACAGAGTAGAGGATTTTACAAGGTTCAGGAAAGTTCCCTGCAGTAAGTCCAAGGGAGAGTTTACGTGTGCAGGCGTTTGCAACCAAAACTGCCATGCATTTTGAGATGTAAAGCGGAATTTGGTTCAAGATGAGGAAAAACTTTACAACTACTGTACATGTACAGCAGCCTCTTTAAGGAAGGATTAGTGAAGAGGTCAGAGAGGGGTGAGTCTAGGGCCCCCCTGAGGGGTGAGCTGCGAGTGACTGACAGGGGGTGAGGAAGTGGCCCTTATGAGGGACCACCCAAACACTCCGGGCTTGTTTGAGCACCATACTGCCTGGGGGTGCGTGACCCTGTGTGTCTCTCAAGTAGCAGGACATGGCCCCTTTGTTTGTTTTCTTATGCTGGAAACTTGCCATACTCCCCCAAAACCCTCTTGGGATGAGGTAATCCTTTCGGGTTTGTGCAATTCTCTTAATCCTTCATTAGACATCAGAACCATAAACCGTGTTCCCCTAGTGAGACAGACTTTTCAGAATATCAATATGTGACCCACTGAAGGAAAAGGTAATAGAATTCGCACTGTGCCTTTCAATGTAATGGCCTTCTCAACATTGAGAAGGTGAAATTTCACAAGGAATTTCAATTTTTCTTTTTCAGAAATAACATTTTGTAAAATTTTTTTTTACATCATGCCTTTTTTCAGAACTATGCAGTTCCTCTGATTTTGAATTCACTTTCATTTCTTTCATTTCTTTTTATTATAATTCCATGACAAAATAATGGCAGTTTGCTACATCAAAGAAGTATAAATATATTCCTGTGTGTTACCTATTTATTTCGTTCCCTAAAACACACATTAAAGATCTTGTTGCACACTGTCCATCGCATAAACAAATAACGAAAACACACAAAAACAATGTCACATGATAAACACACAACTAACACATTTCAAATTTCCTTCAAGATGTTGCATGTTGGAATTTTTCAGCAGGGCTGCAAGGATCATTAGGAATTTGCCGCTTTTTTGACAACACCAACCTGACTGAGTTATGAAAAAAGCTGAGTTTGCTCATTACTCATAAACATGACCTGTAATGTCGAGGACTATATGGACGCATACAATTACCAGTAATCATGTCAACTAAGTGCCAGTCTATCTACCTTGTCGATCATATCAGGCCGGTTGGTGGCAGCCACAATGGTCACATCCTGAAGCTTCTCCACGCCATCAATTTCCGTCAATAGCTGGCCGAGGACTCGATCGGCTACATTACTCCCTCCGGAGGAACTAGAAACAAAACTCGGTTCAATCAGGTGAGGAGACTACAAATGAAGTGGGGCTCAAATCTGTGACTTGCGAGATGCTGCACCAGCAAATGGAGATATCTAGCCCCAATGTTGTCAGACTCCACATTAGGTTGAAGAGTCTGCTCTTTGGAGACCAGTCTGAGCTCCACACACCATGTGACAAGGCACCACGCCCAATACCATGATGACTCAGCAGCCAAAATTTTGCATACCTAAGATATGATAGCTCATACAACAACCAATCCAAGTTTTAGCATTTCCTGTTCATACGAAGGCAGAGGTGTTAAAACAGGTTCTTTACTGTAGCCGTGTAGATGCCAAGTTCTTATTCACACCAATAAAAGGGATTTCCACAATCCACTAGAGAAAGGGAACTTCCACACAATGGATATCACAGACACTAATGGGCACTGGTCTACTGAAATAAAGACTTTAAACAAAGCCCAAAACAATTGCACCCACCTTCCCCGTTCGACAGCCAATGCGTCTATCTCATCAAAGAAGATAATAGCCGGTGCAGCCGTTCTGGCCTTGCGAAAAACCTCACGGACAGCTCGCTCTGATTCACCCACCCACTTGTTGAACAGCTCTGGACCCTGGGGTGTCAGTAAGTCCATCGGAAAGGAATTTTAGTGTTACTGTTGGTCGCAGGAAATCAAACATGTCACCAGTGTATTTTCAAAATAATTCATGAACTGCAAGAATGACGTTTGCGGGAAATAGGTTTAGTTTTGAAAGAAACATTTGTGAGATTGTTATCTGGGAAATGGACATTTTGGACAGAGTATTCTATTTATCTCAATATTTTAGGAAATGCTTTCTGTCTTTCTATAATGCAGGAAAAGTAAAATCCATAGTTTGAAACACCGAGATATAACTTATATGAATTTCTTTCTTCACTGATGAGACTGACTGTACATGGTGCCATCCGCATGCCCCATTCTAGCATTCCCTCCCTTCAAGGCTTTGAAGCACCTCTACCTATTCCTAACTTGGCATGTCACACCTTGACGGAGATGAAGTTGAGCCCGCTCTCTGTGGCAAGTGCCTTGGCAATGAGCGTCTTGGAGCAGCCCGGGGGGCCATACATCAGGATGCCCCGGGGTGGGGTGATACCCAGGCGCTGGAAGGCTTCTGGGTGCTTGATTGGCCACTCCACTGCCTGCTTTAGCTTCTGTTTGATGGCCACTTGACCACCGATGTCTGACCAATGAACCTGCTCAGGGAGAACAAGAAAAACATGACATTTGGGTGTTCACTTTTGCACATACAATATGTTAAAATATATCCCAAATAAAAAAATAATAAATTGTGATAATTTTTCAGCCTGCAATAGAGTCAACCGAGCTCTCTTCTGTTTGTATCACTCAGTTTAGCATCCTCATAACAATGAACATTATTAAGAATTCCAACTGATTTCTATTGTATTGAGATTCATTAAATGTGTTTATCTCAAATTGGCTCCGGCAACTTATCTTGTCAGGCTAGGCCACGAAAAATTACATCCTTTTAAGAATTTCAAGACTTTGCCATACGTTAACTGTACTATAAAATCCCTTAAAGTAACAAACACAAAGAAATGCTGATCTGAAATCAGCATTAGGTCAAGTGTTCATATAACCATTTCTTGGTGTAAAACTTCAGCATCCCCAACAGTATCTGTCCCGAGCTGAAGTGCACCCCCAATCAGCAAAAGAAAGACTGGTGGTTACAAGCGGGTTTTTGCATGCATTCTGCATGTACACAAAGACCATACATACTGGAATAAATTAGTTACGAGTACTCAGCGTGCTCCGCGTCAAACGTGCATATACTTGGGCGCCTCATGGTGCGCCTATGCGGTGAGTACCAAAAACCATGCCCTCTTTTGTTCCGCTCAGAGCGGATATGCATTGAGTGGATAAAATGTTGAACCAAAAAGTTCCAATAAAGCAGTAATTGACACTTACTCGGGGAACTCTGATTTCTACCTCTCTCATGGCACTGGGCTTAACAGTCTTGAGGGCTAGAAGGACATCCTGAGATGACACTGAGACAGTGTCCTTCAGTTCAGAGTCACTAAGAGTTCCCTTCAGTCTCTCAAAGGAATGAATGGCAGCTGAAAAGATCATAAAAATGGTGGCCTGCTCCGTGAAAATGAGTCGGGAGTTGCCAGAGCCACTGTTGAGTTTTAGTTTGTACTGGAAAGAGCATACATTGAACTCTTTGTTTGGATGCATTACTCAGTATGAAAATTGCTGAAAATTGACATGTTGAAACCATTCAACACCGCGCTATTATTTTAAACCATTTCAGTTTAGGGCCACCCTCTGATGTAGTTTAAATCATCATTTCAGCATGGAAATAAAACTAATTCGGTGCAACTTTGAAAGCATTCAGACACTGTTTATGCAAAAAGTTACAATGAATCAAGTTCAACTTCTATTTGAAGCAATTCAAAAAGGTGTCTGAACAGACCCCTACGTGGGTGACAGACGTGGAGGGCGCCTAGAAATGTGCATGACTCTTTTAAAGTCCTCTAAGTCAAAAGTGGCCCTTGTGATTTGTGATTTATTTTCACACCGCAGGTCACAATAATCATGCCCCTGGTACATGTAGGTGTCTTCAAGTTTTGCACTAAACCTCTACAGGTGCAGGGGTACTCTATCCAGCCTTGGGGATTGTTAGACTTAATTTCCCCAAGAAAGCAACTTTATTACAGTTATTATTCATCTGTTGCCTGCAAATGAACAAGTGGACGGATTCCTAGTGTACCTTCTTTGCACACTGCCGCTAGGTCAGCCCCAACATAGCCATGAGCTGTGTCTGCCACCACAGTTATATCGGCCTTGGTCAGAGTGTGCGGCACATGCTGAAGGCACTTTGATAAAATCTACAGGCATAAAACAACGATACATAATTGAAATGGAGGCAGCTATCCAAAGGAAAACAACTTGATCTTCACAAAGCCAAAGAAAATTTAAGGTGTATGAATTTTCATGAATAAAAAAAAATAAAAGTTGTTAGGAACCAAGCTGAGCAACAACTAAATCCCATTTACTTAGCTTTGACAATAATCTCAAAAAGGAAGAATAAATTGCACAAAAATTGTCTCAGCAAACCTAAGAAACAAGCCCTTGTGTCTAAAACCACTTTGTCAGGACCATTTTTCATACGACATGCCACATAGGGTTTAACAGAAATACAAATTGGCGATTGTAATTCTATAATAATTCGTTCAGTAATTTACAGCCTGTCATTCATCTTACATCGGCTCTGTCCCCAGCGTTGGGCACTCCAATCTCAATCTCACGGTCAAATCGTCCAGGGCGCCTCAAGGCGGGGTCCACAGCATCAGGTCGGTTTGTAGCCCCCAACACCATAAGGTGACCTCTGCTGGCCAGCTAGGATTATCCAGGGAAAAACAGTTAAACAATTCAAGTTCACAAGGACCAAAAGGCTCTTGCCAATGTCTTTTAAAGTTCACAAAACTCAACTGCTACATGAACTGAGAGGGTAAAAATAGCCATAAAAATGACATTTGACAGGCAACATATCAAACAAACAATTATCTTGAGTAGTCACAGTCTTAATGACTATTTTGCAAATGGTTCATGGAGACTTTCTAAAGCATGGCTTAATTACATCTAAGAGTTGATAATTTGAGGAACATTCTTGGTCCGGGAAACGCTAATTTCCCAAAGTTGAATTCAGTTTTTTGGGGGGGTGGTTGGGTGGGAGGACAGTTGGTATGAAGGGATTATTTTTGAAAAATGACTATAAAACAAGCAAATACCTTCATGATTCAAAAGGAGGGTCAGTCACAGGTGCTTTTCAAAATGGAGGAAGGGCATTTTAATTACTTTGCCTCTCTCTTTGCTACTTGGACCTTCACCTTAACTGTCCCACATCCTTCAAAATCCACTAGGAAGTTTAGAGGATTTCTCAAGGTTGACAACAGCCAAGCTACAACATGCACTATTTTTAAACATGGGGCTTGAATGTGATACTGCAAAAATGTTGCACTGGGTTCCTGAACGCTGGAATATTTGGGGGTGATTCAGGAAGGTTCTTTGGGAAACAGTGTCTCAGGATTTAGGGCTAAAATCGCATCTGACCGCATCCACGCCATCCATGAGGGTCAGCAGGGTGGCCACAATTCTCTTCTCTAGGTCACTCTGCACCCGCTCACGGTGTGGGCACAGCGCATCCAACTCATCAATGAAGATCAGACTGGGGGCGCTCTTTGCCGCCTCCCGGAAGATGCTCCGCAGTCTGGCTTCGGACTCTCCGTAGTATCTGTCAAATGAGATGGTTGCTGTCATAAGAGAGTTTGGAGGTAGCCTTCTTCAGAGATCCTGTCCCTGTCAGGAACTAACTTTATTTTGAATTCTTCCAAGATAAAGTGTCAATGTGTTGCAGCCTTCATTTAATTACCACACTGCCTAAATCTATGAATGGAGACTCATTATAAATACTCATCTCGTATGTATTGCTATGACAGAAAAACTCGGTTCTGCTGTCATAGGTGGGTCGGTGTTTGAAGGTGAACCAAAAGTTCATACTCACCTGCTCATGACCTCTGGCCCATTGATGATGGTCACATGGGCTCCTACCTCATTGGCAACTGCCCGAGCGATCATTGTCTTCCCCACCCCAGGGGGGCCATACATTAAAACACCTCGTGGTGGGGCAACACCTGTGGTTGAAACATAAGGCGAAAAGAAATCTAGGATCTAAGCTCAAACAGTAGGACAAAAAAAAAATCAGAAAAGGGCCCCTCCCCCCAAAAAATGCTATAATGCTGTCATTGGCGACTTTTGTGGTACAACTAACCTTTTTTAGAAGCTCCCAAATGTGTGATTCCATTCATTTACAATGCGGTTAAAATTCAAAGCATTTAATACAAGTAATTCAGCCTTTTGCCACAAATGAAAGCTTACCCAAAGATTTGAAAAATTTTGGATTCTTCAGAGGTAGCTCCAGTGTTTCTCGAATGGTTTTCAGCTGTCGGGATAACCCGCCAATCTTATCATAGGTCACCAAGTCATGCTTGGCTTCATCATCTGATAAACTTTTGTCCTTATCAAGCCTCGTCACAAAAACCAGGTTGGTGCTCGTGCCAATGCTGCTGAAGACAAGCTGCTGACAATCCTGGGTACTAGTCCTGTCGCTACTGGACTTTCCTGAAGGACCATCCTCAGGTACATGTAACACTCCTATTTCCAATTCTTGGAAAGATTCTGAAAGCCCCTGCATATTCCCAGCTGTGGAGTTGATTTTCTTTGGAGTTGAAGTTGAGATGTTTGGTGAATTTGATGATTCCACAAAGTTCGATATGAAATGATGCAATGCTTCACTCCCACTATCCATACTGTCAGACAGCAAAGACTGCATTTCACTGATTGAATTGAGGCTTCCTGCATTTTTATTTATTGAATTCCTTGAACTGTTGCCGGTCTCAAGGTTACTCCTGCCAAGAAAACTGTTTTCAGCATTCAGGGACGCATCCAAGTTTAAATTTCCTTCTGCAAAATTTACATCTGATATCATTGACTCTGACTGGCTGCTCAATCGTGGCTGGGTTCTATATGGTGATTGGTCAATGTTGATCATTGTTCCGTCCTTGTGGGTGATTTCAATGACTTGGGACAAAACAGGCTTGCCATAGTAGCTGATACTCAGGATGGACCCGGGCAAAATGCACCTCCCTTCCACAGATCGCAGGAAGTACTTCTTAAAGTCCAGAGACTGGAGAAACTTCCCCTGGTGCCTGCCAAAGTAATCAGCAGGTTAACCAGAATGAGAGACAATCTATCTCCACATTCAGCGAATTGAAAACTTTGCTCAGAAATGCTTTACACCATAACCTATTATTCTTCTGAGCTGAAATTTAAACTATAAAAACTGTGTGGCATACCAAAGAAAAGTGGTCTTGCGAAGGGCTGAGCCAATTTATATTTGACTATTTAACATTCAAATTTGCAATTGACTGGATATTCAAACATTTGATATGAAAGATTTTGGGTCAACATATCAGTAAAAACTATAATCTATGATTATTAAAAAGTCTCTTACTTTTTTTAACAACTACACCCACACCTGTGGCAGTAAACCAAGAATTCATAAATACCTCAGAGAGTTTTTCTATTCCTATTGGTCGAAACACGTCATGTGACCTTGTATTAACCACTTCATGCCAGGGCATTTTTCAATGTTGATGATGCTGGGCTGGCATGACTATCATTTTTTCCATTTTCAAAATCCTTAAAAAATTCATCATTTCATTTAACGGTCGTTTATAGCTGCACGAAGTAATCTTTAGGCACTACTCTAAGTTGACAGGTAACCTTCATTGACACCCGAGTATTTCAGCCAGGCCTGCAGCCTTGTAAAAAGAGCCCAGATCGTGCGGTGTTATGCAACTTTCTTTTGTTCACGAGCCTGGCTCAGTGCACTGCTGACCTCTTTTCAATAGGGGCCAGATTAGCGAGCAGCGGTGTTGTGTGGCTCATCGCTGCGGTGGTGGAGCGCTTTTGTCCCCGGTGGTAATCTGCTTGCTACAAATGCCCCAAACCCTGGTATACGGTTTCAAAACAAGGCTGGATTATCACCGCTTTTGAGAGTGAAAATGCTGGTAATGCCCAGCAGCCTGGTCTTTTGTTCGGAGTACGGTCTTCTGTTACAGGGCCCTGTTTCCTCTGTCCAAGTTCGGAGACCCCGGCCATGCATATAAACCATACGTTTCCAATTCCAGAGTCCACGGCAGGAAGTGGTTAACATTTCATAATGCCCGCTAAGAAGTGATAATGCCCACTGCTTAAATCACACACTGGCACATGTTTATGACACAGTTAATTGGGTCTGATTGGATTGGTTGGGAGTCTGTGTGCATGCGATGCACCATGCGCACACCAAGTTCACTGACGGGAGTTTTACTGGACAACTGTTCAAAAGGAATATACCATAAAATGGACAGGGGTGTTCAGGAAAATGTAAGTAAAGTTTTAGAACTCAATTGTTAGAAATCCATCATATGTTGACTTATTTTGGCTCTCTGAATAAAAAAGTATTTATGAATAGGAATAAATATGTGCTTGGCCAGTCTTAAACTAACGTTTCAGACCTTGCTTAGGAGAAAGAACGGTGATAATGCTCTCGCCAGCAGCTCAGGCATTAGTCATGTCTGCTCTCCTAAGCCGGCCAAGTACACATTTATTCCCTTATTGAGAGAGATGTCTACAAAATAATACATTCAAAACCAAACAATTTTGTATAAGTCTGTTTTCCTGTTCAACCATTTCATTTATAAATACTCGAAGCAAATAAAACATATGAGCATTTGATGATGATTCAAATTTGAAATCTGCCAAAGCTTTAGTCTTGATCAAATTGTATACAACAGCCTAGCTGTTACATAACTTGTGTAATTTTTTTATTAATTGAAATCACAGGCATTTAGCTACTACATTTGAAGCCAAACTTACACAGAAAACAGTTTTATGTCTGCCGCAAGTAACATAGGACCTTCCACAGCCTTGACGCACACCAGATCGTTACCCACCACCCCGTTCACCTTCTGCAGGTTGCCGTTGATCCCAACGCTGGCTGCTGGGAAGTTGGCCACTGGCCAGGCGGTAGCAATCAGCTTGACCTTTGACCTGAGCGAAGTCAGGAGGGCAGGCCGACCAATGCAGAGGTTGCAGAGTCTCATGGTGTCAGGGTTGAGGTGGACCATCAGCTGATGGCTAGAGGAAGGCAACTTCTCGTTGCCTGCTTCGAATGACAAAAATATTGACACAGAAAAAATTACAAGTGAGGTGAAGAGTTCCATATCCGGACATCACTTGATACCTTGTGTACACACTCTATGGAACAGCCTGAAAAATTCTAAGCATTTTCTAAGTACATGCATGTACTTCAATATTATTACTTCTAAATATGACTATGGCTTATAGAACACTACACAGACAATTTAGGGTGTCCTTATAAATATGTAATTCTTTCCATATCATACATGGAGAATATGGACAAAATTTGACAAATTTAGCCTAGGCCTAGGGAGACATTTTGGTTTCTTTTTTCTGTGGTGGCTGCAGCATAACCTAGTAAAGAAACTAACAAAAAACCAAAAAGTGTTACAAGAAATAAGAATTGTGAAAAGTAGAGTTGATTGTTCAATAATTCAACATGTTTAAGCTTATTGGCCAAAATCTTTACTGTTTTCTGTACATGTGCTGCATGCTTGCACATCATGCTAAACTGGAAGAAAAGTTTGCATTTTGATACAAACCCTTTTCAGCCTGCAAGCACACTTCACTATATAGCACTCCAGAGCGAACAAAGCCGTGGTGGAAAGTAGTGTCGGTCCTTCTCCCTCGGCCATGTCGGCCATTAGTATCACTGCCGTCTTGTGCCCCACTGCGGTCGGGGAAAAACACGGTCGAAGTCGGCGCACCCCATTGCTCCGTGGCCCCTCGGCTGCCAGGGCACTGTGTCTTGTGTTTTGGCCAGTCCCTGCTGCTTACCAGAATGTCACACACTTGGCAGCTTAGCCACTCCGATCTTCCCGGTTTCTTTTTCGCAGACATTTTCCTGGTGGCATGCCGATTGTCGGAAAATACGGTACAGACGTTCTTTAATTTAGTGCAAAAAATACAGAAAGGTTCCCAGGATTGTACCTGTACATTTTTCGTCCAAACAAAGGACCAGACTAAGGTACATGTGGCCCATTTTCAAAACTGTTGGATCGTGGATATTCGTCTTCACAACTACATCCAAAACTATTTCCTCGTCGATAAAATTCACCATGACTGTACCTCATATAAGTAATTTGATATGTTGTTAAGTAGTAAATCGAGTCTTGGCGTTGACTTTAACCAGAGTAATCGATTCAGAAACTGGAATCACAACTTCATATGCCAACAAATTCGAAGTTTGGAAAATCCCTCTTCTTCTCAGCTCTTTCACTGAAAGTCACCAATTGAGGGCGCACTTTCAAAAACACGGTCATGCCAAAGGTCGCGAAGAAGTTCTGGTAGAAAAAAGGGGAATTTTTGGCGTTTGAAATGCGGACGTGAATCATCAACTCGCAGCCACGCAAAAATCATCTCGATGACTTGGCTGGAAATGTTATTAAATTCCCACGTACCCAAAAGCTTTACCTGAACTGAGACTGAGCCACGATGCCGAATAAAAAGAAAGGCAAACCGAGTGGCGACTCTGAGACTGGTGGTGGGTGGACCAGCGTGAAACGCCGCGCCCATCATCATGCTTCTCATAAGGGGGCCACAGCAGGTGGAGACGGCAGATGTATCGCCACGGAGGACGCTGATTCGTCGGAAGAAGCACGGACTAAAGAACTTCGCTACCTACAAGAAATGTTCTCCGGGAAGTTGGACCCAGTTGTTGTCCATATGATCATGAATGATTGTGATTTCAAAGGTAGGGCCTATGTATTTCTGACCCAAAATTATTTCCAAAGACTGAGGAGATTTTAAAGCACAATTAACACCAGAAAAAGTTGTTGATCTCCTTTATGAAATTGTTAAAAACAAAGTTTTTTGTTGCTCTTCTTCGGTACGTGGCAACAGATTCTCTGAATCCATGTATAAAGTTGTTTTTGTTTGTTCATATTCAATTGATTGCTCTCAATGTCACATCTAATCATGGAAAACATTAACAAATGTATAGGCCTGGGCCTAATTATTTCATTATTGACTTCCAGATAGGGTCTAGATATTTATGACAGGATTAATAAAGATTTTTGCCCTTTTTTTTGAGGATAATGATAACCTCTCTGTATTCAACCCTAAACTAGTAAAAGAGCCCCTGCACAGTTTTTCTGATACATGTATTGGTGCTTTAAAAGAAAATTGTGCTGTGCTCTCTGGAATTTTTAGTTTGTTGATGCCTTGCATCACAAGTTATTATATTGAAAACAATTCTAAGAAAATACCATTCTCACTAGCTCTCATTTTTATAAGAGAAGTAGGCAAAAAATGTTGACCTTTCCCATTGACTGCAGTCAGTGCATCAGAGAGATGTGATTTTGAACTATTAAACAAGTAATAGGCCTAAATTGTAACAGAATTCTGTATGAATGTCTTCATATGCATGTCAAGTTTCAGAAAGATCTTTCTTTGGACATATCTTGGGGGTGGAATGTCCCCCCCCGCAGCTGCAAGGTCACACATTCTGGCCCTTGTAGGATCAAGTGACTCATCATGATACCCTTTTGATCAAGAATATGATGAAGGTCGTAACTGTCAAAGCTCACATCCTCCTGTCAAATATGGAACCAGACAAATGACATTTGGGGGGGGGGCATTTTTTCCCTTTTCAGTTGAAACAGCACTGGAAACCCTTTTTGAGCTTGCGGAACAGACCTCACCAGTTGAATCCCAGATGTATAGACTCTCAGGATTCAAGGATGTCTACATCCCAAGAGTTGATGCAGAGGAGGAGCCAGATGAAGACGATGAACATGGTGAGGGGGAAGATGTTGATGTAGAAGATCCTCCCTTTCCTGATAACTATGGAGTGAGAAGGAGTCCGTCCACCTTGCCGAGAAGTGGAGGGGATGATGACCCTGCCCAGTCTCCACCAAGAAATCCTGGACTGTCCACCCAAGCCGAGGGGGCTAAGGATGAAGGTGGTAAGATGAGCAGTTCTAAAGCTGATTCACTGAGTGACCTTCCACTGAAGTGGGGAGGCTTGGAGCCCAGCCGAGCATTCCAGCCAAGGTTTCCTCCAAAGCAGAATCCTTTTGCCAGACACCCACGGGAGAGGCCAATTAGTCCTCTCAACAACCTGAGCAAGATAGACCCCTCGGATTCCACCCTATGCTATACAGATAAGGAGGCAAGCGGGCAAAGAAACATTTCTGAATTTGGTCATGGGTCAGCTACCGAATCTTTAATTACCAACACCTCATCCCATAAGATGAATATTCATGAGGTCCGAGACACTGGTGCTGGTACCTGTTCTACTTTATCAGATGAAAGCAAGAATGATGAAAAGTTTGCCCATAAAGGAGCATTCACATCGCAGCATGGACCTACAGACGCTCTTTTGCTATCAGATAATTTGGAAACTGACCGTATTGAACCAGCAGTGGCTGCCAGCCAAACACCTATGTCAGTTGAGCAGAATTTTGGAAGAGATCCCACACCTTCATCCGAGGAGAAATTAAAAGACGAATCTCCAGCAGAAGAAGCTGTCAGTGGCTCATCGCCTGCTGACCTGCCAGCGGGTGAACTTGAAGCCCTACTTGGAGAAATTGAGATGTGCCCAGAGAAATTGTCTGAGTCAGAAGAGAATGTTGAGCCTAGCATCACTGACCACCAACTAGGACTGGCAAATGAAGCTTCTGTTGATTGCACTGACCTCTTGGAGAAGACAAGTAGTCCTGCTGAACTGAAACCTGAAACTAATTTCAGTCAAATTGATAAGGCGAATGAGGTTCCCACAATAAAATATGTGAAGCCCAAACATCAGTCAACTACAGTGCAAAAAGATGATGCATCTAAGAATGATAAGCAGAGGAGCATGAATGTGGCTGCTCCAGCCTTTGTCCCAAGAGTTTATGCCAGGCCCCTGACCCCCACGGGGCACCAGCAGTATCCTCCCCCAAAAGGGTTTAAACCGAGACAAGGCCTTTGGATGCCCAAAGTGCCTCATCCAGCTGGAAGGGCATCTTCCCTCCAGAAACATCTCAAGCAATTTGATGGACAAGTCGGGAGGCCTTTTTTCACTCCTTCCCCCGGCTCCCGGGAGCAAAGTCCCAACCTTCTTGAAGAATCTGAAAGGCAAGGATGGAACGCCAGTCAGCAGCAACAGCCTTTCCAGCATCCAGCGCAAATGTTTCAGCCACCAGAGAGCAGATTTCGCCCAGTATCGAAACGGCAGCCACAGGCATCCTTCTGGCTGCAAAATCAACCCCCTCATCCACGACACCGGATGCCTAGTGGGCCAAACCAAAGTTACCAGTTGTTTGGTCCTGGGGTTGTACCCCCTTCACATGATGCACCGCTTGTGGGCACAACACCTTCCAGAGGACAGCGCACCAACTCACCACATGAGGGTGCCAGACAACCTCAAGGTCCATCCCAGAGGCCAGTCAACAAGCACATGAGTCATGCACCCCGGGAGCAAGGTTACAACTGTAAAAAGGCTGGGATGGAAGGCAAAGCTGTTCCATTGCCGGAGGGCAAAGTATTGTGCTTAATGAGGGGATGCCCTGGGAGTGGGAAGAGCACACTGGCAAGGTAAATCTGTACAACAAAATTATTGTACATGTATGCTATAATGTGAGGCAGGAATTTTATTTCATAAAATTATTATAGAATGTTGTGATACATTTATATTAGCATCGGTGTTGGGACGGTCCACAATATACTGAATACTGTTTTTTTTTTAACTGTTGTAGTGATTTTTGAATATTATTGCTATAGTGCACATGTTATTCAACAAATCCGTTGGGCAGATCAAGTTTTGTTTTTTCTCATGTGTTTGGTTTACCCATCATGATCAACTATCACTATCAGGGACACATGGTGCCAGTATTTACAGAGGGATGTGTGATTTTAGTCTCTGCTTTCGATTTTTCAGAACGCTTGTCGGCAACGGGCAAATCTTGAGCACCGATGACTACTTCACCAGGGAGGATGGACAGTATTGCTTTGATATCACCAAGCTAAGTGAGGCCCATGACTGGAGCCATCAGAGAGGTAAAGGGATGAATGAACAATCTTGCCTTTTTCGTGGGTGGGATGCTTGAGAAAACTGTTGTTGTGCGGAGAGGTTTTAGTGTCTGTGTCTGTGCAGTCCCACACTCTGTACATGAGTTCAGCGTCCTTAGGCCAGTTCTGATCAATCCAGACGTAAATCTAATCAGTAAAATCATATCTGTTTTTGCCACAGCTAAAGAAGCCATGGAATCTGGAGTCACACCACTCGTCATTGATAACACCAATATAGAACGCTGGACAATGAAGCCATATGTTGCTATGGTAAGGCATATACATGTACATATATGCCAAGCACTAAAATCTTAGCCTCAAATTCAACATGCTGTAATACACTTGGGGTATAAAATGCTGCATCAAGTGGTAAAAAATGGCCACCTTGTTCAATCTTTTGAATCGTTCAAGGAAAGACTTTTCCAGACTTCTGTTTTATCGTGATCAATTATCATTCAGGCGAATCATGTTTTCTTCTGACAGGCTGTCCGTTATGGCTATGCAGTTGAGTTTCGAGAGCCGACAACACCGTGGAAATTCAACCTCGGGAAACTGTTCAAGTAAGTAGTAAAGCTTCTCTTTTATTTTCATGTTAATTAGTTAACTTGTGTCTCATTACGCTATACTTTAAACCAAACATGACATGTGCATATAATATAACGGTAGAGTACAGTGCCTCCCCAAAACAAGTGTAAAACTGCAACTAGGCTGTCACTGTTGAAGTAACGGTACATGCAGTGCTGAGCAAAATGAACAGATTAAACTTGTTTTAAGCATTTATTCATCTACAACTGGAACAAAAGCTAATGTAAAACCAGGCACGAAATGTGCATGTTCATACTGGCTCTGTAGTTCATAGTTATTCCCAATTCTACGGGTGAAAGTTTTTTCTTTAAAAACTGTTTAAGGAGAAAAGATTGTTGAAAAGGAAATAATCGATGGGAACTCTGAGTAAACTTGTTTCTAGGTTTTAATATTTCTTATCTTTGGCAGATACAACTCACATGGTGTTCCAAGAGAGAGGATCAAATTGATGATTGAGCGCTTTGAAAGAGATGTCAATGTAGAGAATATTCTCGGCTCCTCAAAACCTGAAAAACCAAAAAGGAAGATGACTGAAGCAGAACAGCACCCATCCAAAGAGAGTTGGAGAAAAACTAAAAAGAAAGGTACAACAGCTCATAAAGAAGACAGCACTTCAAAGCAGGACCTGGCACCAGGATCCCATAAAGCAAAGGCACAAGACAAGGATGATACTGCTGCAGATAAGAATCAGGAGGAATGTGATGATGTCACCGTAGCAACAGATGCCATAACAGAGAAAAGCCAAAACAGAGCAGAGTTGTTCATGTCGGAAGATGAAGATGGGTTTGATGCATTGATGGACTCAGTGGCTTGTGACTCAGCTGAGGATGTGATTGCAAGATGTGATGAGGACAAAATGAACAAGAAGCCACAAGAAAATGTGGGAGATGAGATGATGGTATCCTTGAATAAAGAATCATCTTGTGAAACTGTGGCAACAGCTGCTGCCAAGAGTTGTGACGAGAAGGTGAATGACTCAAGAATGGTTGATGCAGAAGAAGAGTTAGAAATGACAATGAGGACATCAGAAGCACCCCTTGAGTTACTTGAACCATTCATCATAGAAGGTACAGTACATCAGGTACTTTCAGATAGTACAGGAGATGGGGAAAATGAAGAAGATGATGATTTTCTTACCATGGTGAATGCCATGAAGGAAGCATCTTGCCATCTACCCCTTGCAGTGATTTCCTCTCTGGAAGAGAGTGAGAATCTCCAAGGCGAGCAACAAGAACAGCAACCGACAAGTAGCCCCGGATTCCTTGCTGCAAGGACAAAGTGTGATTCACATGCAATGCTTTCTCATCCACCGGGATTTGAGCTGCTTTCAAAACTTCCAGATGAGAGTCCCGAAGGCAAGCAAGGCAGTTACTCTGCTGACAGTGATGAAGATGATTTTGCAGTGATGATGAACTTGATAGCAGATGCTTCCTGCCAGGAGCAAGATCAACCTGTTCCCATTTGCAGAAATGAAGCGAGAAATGATGAAAATGTACCCAATTTGCATTGTATCCCAAGTGTCTCTACAAATGAACCATCTGCTTTCACTCAACACCTGAAAACAAATGCAGATTTGCACAATGCTGATGCTGCAGGTGAATTTGCAGACTCGCCTTTTGAGAAACAAGGCTCTGTCAAAACTGGTGAAGATAATGGTGGCAAAGGGAAGGCTGATGAATGTTGTTCAGATACTAAAGAAGCAAATAAAGTTGGTCAGGTTTCTGCAGCAATAGCAAATGAGAATGTCTCACTGGAAAAGGATGCTTTGAAGAGGAAATCTGAAACAGATCAAGTAGTTGTTTCCACTGATGACCAGCAGAGCAATCATATGCTCAATGATAATTGTGGGAGTGGAATGAGTGACTTTAAGCCTCCTATTGCTTCAGATTTGAGAGCGTTGTCAAGTGTCAAAGAAAACAAAACACATGTCCAAACTGATGAAGTGCCTTCTACAACCCAGCCAACTTCACCTTCTGATTTACTTGTCCCATCATCTGAGTGCAGAGGCCTCAGTCCTAGCCTGCTGGGTCCCTCAGCAGCTTCTGAGGATGGTGTTACCAAGCAGTGCCAAGAGAGGAGGAAGGTGCGGCGATCCAGATCCCTCAACAAAAACACCAAGATGGCTGCTGTTTTTCCCACCCTGTCTCCTGGATCAGAAAACTGGTCTGACCTTGCTGGGCTGGTGGACCTAGGGTCTGAGGACAAAGCCGGCCTGTCTCGAAACAAATCTCCAGTCCTAGAAAGCATCTCCTTTACTGAGGCAGGAACTGAGACTTTGCCATCAGATTTCTCATGTGTACAGAGGATGGAATCAGGGGAATTGACAGTGGAAGACCTACGGCTACAGGGCCTCTTTGTTGCTGTTGCCCAGGCAAGACAAATTGCTCTGCGAGAGAGTGACGTAACATCCCAAAGGGAAGATGCCATTTCTGAAAGACCCTTATCCTCATCATCCACCAGTCATTCCCCGGTACCTGCTACTGTCAGACTGCACAAGAGCACAATGACAGATCATGAGGAAAGCACAGAAAACATTAATGACAACTTGAAAAATCTCATCACCCTCTTCCCAGCTGTTTCTCCAAAGGATCTTGAAGATATCCTTGCCAGATGCAAAGGAGATCTGGAATGGGCCACCAACATCCTCCTGGATGATTTTGGTAACAGGGAGAGAATTGACCCTGAAAGCCAAGAATTAAATACTTCTGATCAACTATCCGGCAGAAGCCAAACAGAAAATTCATCAAGACCAGTAAAAGCTGAATTCAATGATAAGGAATCCCAGGTTAATGGTGATAATCAAACTAAAGTGGCAGCTGATTGCATGAAAGATCATCTGGAGGCTAAGCAAGTTTCTCAAGCTGAGAACTTGGCCACGAACATGATTTCAGTTGTGGATGACATTCTGAAGGCCATCGGCTCTAAAGATACTCTGGCCAGTGTTGACAACACCCCTCTCAAACAGACATCTGAGAGAGGAAAGACTGAAATTGATGCAGTTGATAATTCCAATCATTTTAAATGTGTGCTGGAAAGTAACTCCTCTCCAGTATCACAAGTTAACTTGAACTCTTCAAATCTTGAATCCGCATCGAGTTGTCCCGATTCTGACACAAAAGTCAAGTCTGACATTTCTCCTCCCAGCCAAGAACCTGCTTCAAACCAGAGCAGCTCTGAAAGTGAGGGTGCACCAAGAATGGCAAATTTCCTTCAGAAACAGAAACAAACTGTGAGTGATTCCTGTTTACCAGGGGAGGAACCAAAACTAGACAGAGAGGATCTGTCATTGAGAATAGGCATGTCACATGGAGTTGATTTGTCTGAGGTAGAAGTTGCTGCTTGGATTAGAGAAGCCAGAACTGAATCTAACATTCTTGGAAGCTCAACATCTCATGAAGCCAGCATATATCCATCAACTGGAGATCAACAACAAGTTGGTCTAGTAGACTGCAGCAACTCAGCATCAGCTCTTCCAGGGATGGCATATTCCCGCGGGAGTGGGTTGACAGCATCTGACCCCTTTACTGACTATGGGACCCCCACAAGAGAAAACAAACCACAGGTTGTCAGGCCAAAGACTCCATTGCGCACAGCTTTAAGTCAGTCACCAACAAAAGCCTCCAAGGTAAAGAAACCGAAGGATGTGGATCTTTTTGTGAAAACGACCCACAGTGTGGAAGCAGAAGCTCCCTTGAGGAGTTGCGAGCTTGAGGCGGCCGGAGGAGTCCGGTTTTCCTGGAATAGTGGGAGGGAGATTGAGGAGTTTGGAGTGCCCCATGAGGGACAAATGATGACTGGACAACATGATGGCTTTGAAATGGAAGAAGGGTCATTGGTGACTGAAGAGCAAGAAGATGCAACCCTTCATGGTAATTCGTTGAATCCTTGTTATTCTTCACTTTCAGTCTAACCTAACCCTGACAGTCCCAAATCCTCCAATTTCAATGTGATTTTACATACATTGTTCTTTCCTTTACTCATCTTCTGAGGAACTCCTCATTTGTTCCCATTTATTCTTCTTGCTTCCTGTTCTTATCCTATTTCTTCTGGATCTCCTCTCAAACACCTTGTTTGCCTGTTTCTCATTTTAACTCTCCTTGTTCATACTTCCTCCACAGACCAACCAGTGCAGAAGAAACTCTGGGAACTGAGAAGCTTAGAGGAAGGTTTGATATTACAGTTACCTCCCGCTTTTGCTCTTCAACTTCAGGAGATGTTTGGTTCCATCGGCTTCCACCTTCTCCCAGGTGAGGGGCCTTCTCAAAGTTTAGCCTGGGTTTTTGCCTTGAAATTAGACAAAGGTATTCAGTTCTTTGAGCAAAAATATGTGATGTAGCATTTAATTTGAGAAAGCATTTTAACTCCTCTGAAAAGAGCTCGGGAGTGATATCTCAGGATAGTTGATTTCCAAGTGTCCTGTTGCTTAGTATAATGAAAATTATGAAACTTTTCCCACACTCATTCATTTTAAAAGCACCGAGTTTTAAAGAGCTATTAAAAAGGGAATTTCTCTGCCAAAATATGACTTTTTCTCAGTGTTTGCTGTTCACACTTTTTGTGAATCTTTATGTATTAAAGTTGCGCATTTTGAGAATTTTTGTTATCTGTTGTAAAACCCCAGTAAAGTTCTACAATTACAGTAGTCTACAACTACAAACTTGAATATCTTGTGATATTCAAACACATAGAAGTTACTGAAATCTGTTCTGGTTCAACAGAGCTGTTACCAGCAGAGGACCTTCAGGTTCATGTTGACTATGACCTAGCTAAGACGTTGCACACACTGTGGGCTCAGACACTGCAGACACGGTTTGACAAGGAGGAGGAACTAGACAGCATCATCCAAGCCGGTCAGCATTTGGACTAGCTGCTTATTGTGACTAACACAACGACATATGTTGCTGGGCTGTTCAGAGTTTTGGTAGTCATTGTGGCTTAAGCAATATTTAAAGTATAATGAGAGAAATTTTCTAACCAAACGTGAAGTTTTATTGGCAGATTTAGACCAGCTTATCAGTTAGAGCCATCTTCTTTTTAAACTAAATACTGATGATAGAATCTGTCAGAAATGGGGAGAAATTAAGTTGGAGAAAAATGTGAGTTAAATGTTACCTTAGTAATGATTGTTTCTGCGTTTGACATATTGTGTCTGACTACTTGTTGACGTCCCCTGGTATTAAAAGTTTTACATATTATGAAACGCTCTTTGCAGATGAAGAGCTTGCTCGGAAATTGCAACAGGAAGAAGACATTCAGCACATGACCGAAGTCCAGTCAGCCCGGTCTGCCAAATACCAAGGCACCAAAGCCCCCCTAAAAGCAGCCAAGCCGCCAATCAGCTTGAGGCACGGCTATGGGGACAGCAAGGGCATGATGGGTGCTCTCACCACAACGAGGCAACCCCCAGCAATGGAAGAAGTAAAGGGTCTGAAAGAAATAATGGAGGAAGAACTGGCAGCACAGCTTAGCAAAGACATGGAGGTTTGTGTAGCATGGGCTAATCTTGTCCACTCCTGCTGTGTTAAGCACAGGAAATGTCAGGAACCAGCTAAAAAGCTGTACAATGGGTATTGTTTATGACCGGACCACACTTGGCTTTTGCTAAGCGTGTAACTTAACATGGGGTTAACATTGGGGGCTGTAATTTATTAACGACACCAATCAGCTTGCCATTTTGAGGCTGCTATCATTCTACTAATGGAACACCGATTAGTTTGCCAGTTCAGTTGCTGTTGTTCCAAGTTGGAGAACTACAGTCCCATAGACAGATTCACACCAACGTTTTGTATACTCCACCAATATCATTAGATTCCCTGTATATGCTTGACTTTCTGGTGACCTCCAGGTTGAAAGCAAGCTAAAAACTGATGATTCAGTCTCCATAGCAACCAAACTGAAGAGAGACAAGCTGTTCAGTGAGTTTCCCACACTAGACAGGGATGTACTTGAAGAAATCTTCCGGGACTACAAGTGAGTTTGATAATAAGTGCAGTCAAGGAATCCTGGTGAGCCAATAGTTGAGTCATGATGGGTTTAGTTCTTCATGGAGATATTTTACATTGAAAATTTCTAGTCACTCTACGTTCAAGTGTCACTGTACATCCTGGCTCCCTGCTGGACATGGTCATAGGCACAACTGTTGATAACCAGTGACGTGACTAACCTTGATGGGCTTGTCCAAAATACTTCACTTGAACAGTTCAAGCCATTGACTTGTTTGTATTCATTGAAAGTGAAATTGTATTTCGCCATAGTTCTTGATAAAGCTTGTTCTGATATGCTGAGGAGGGTAGCTTCACTTTTTCAGTGCTTATTTGTAAATTTTAGGATGGACATCCATTGTGCTATGTCTTACACATCTAAACCCATGTTCATTCTGTACAAACCATTCGGATAAACAGTGTCATGTTTAAATTCTCACCTTGTTTCCATAGCTACCAATTGGATCCCACTATCAGGCACATCAAGTCATTCTTCAACACTGCGTCCAGCCAACCCAAAAACGTCTACACTGATGAGGCGTTGGAGAGGATCGAAAAGGAGTTGATTGGGGTTGCAGAGAGGCAAAGCTTGGCATCAAGTGAGGATGTAAGTTGCAGCTAAGTTGATTGGTGTTTTTTGGCTATTTTTCCTGTGTGTAAAGAGCATAGTATATTTAATTGAATGATAGATTATTTGCAGTGCAGTTCGACTTGACCTTTGTGTATACAAATAAAGATGGTATGTAGGTAATGTGATATTTTTCATTGATATTTCGTCAAATACAAGGAAGATCATGAAGGTACTGCTTCTTGCCCTGACAATAGGCCTATTTTACAAACAGCAGTTTACTAGATGTGTTTGTAATTTATAAGAGTTTATTGTAAGATGTTTACCAGTTTTTCTCTTACTTTTTCCAGACTGATGAATCCAATCCTCAGGAGGCGTTTCAATCCACAGAGAACCCAGACTATCAGGATTACCGTGGAGAGGCCACAATGCATTACCGGCTGCGCCATGAAGCCTTCCAGAAGGCCGCAGCAGCTTATAACAGAGGACAGAAGGAGCTGGCCTCGTTTTACTCACAGCAGGTCAGCAGGCTGGGAATTGATTTAACCCTGTCTTCCCATAACTTGCAATTTAAAACTGTGGTGATGCATTTGAGGAGATTCGATGACAGTGGAGATTAAGAAGATGTTCCTAAAGCAATGTATAAGAGATGCCTTAAGTCATGTATAACATTTTGTATCTGTTTACTACCCTTGGTCATCAGACCATTAGCATTTTCTGAATTTCAGCTTTAGAGGGTAGATATTTATCACAAGTTCACTTTATTCTTACCAAATCATGTATGCTTTATTTTTACATCAACTATGAACTATACAGTACAGTGCAACAAAAAATGACCAAATCTCTGTCAAATGTCTTGACAGATTTGGATGCACACAATGTAGTAAAGGCAATGCTTAAAGAAAACCGGAGTCAAATTTGTTACTCTCGTGACTTGTGTATGTGCATTTCATTGTATGTAACTGGTTATTTTTTACTTCTCTCTCCGCAGGGCCATCTCCACACAGAGAAACTGAAGGCTGCCAACAAGAGAGCATCTGAGGCCATTCTATCCTCAAAGTAAGAATTCCATTTCTTTAAAAAGCAGGTCTTCTGATTTTCATGCAGTTTGTTGCAAGAAAGTGCCCTCGTCTTGTTCTACACAACACCCCCCATAAGCCAAGTAGTACCAGACTAAAACCTACCCATTTTCTCTCTCCAGGAATGCCCTGTTTAATGACAACACGTTGGACCTCCACGGTCTCCACGTTGACGAAGCCCTGCTGATACTCAAACAAGTCCTGAGTGACAAGGAGGCAGAGCTGGCTGCCCACGACCAGCTGCCACGCCCCTCTAAGTCACCTCAGAAGTACATCTTTGTCATCACAGGGAAGGGTAACCGGAGCAGGGGTGGAGTGGCCCGAATCCGGCCAGCTGTCACTGAGCTACTCAAACAGGAAGGCTACAGGTGAGGAAAGCCACTAGTCTGGGGAACAAGTTCTCCAAAGTTTTCCCATATTTGATGGTTCTGAGTTCCTGCAGAGTACATTTGGATATTCAAATTCGACTGAAAAGCCTGTTTAAATCTGCTGTTTTTTCAGTGCCTGGATACAGCTTTACTCATGAAACCTTCCAACAAGCTGTTTTAGTTGTTTTACTTTCTGAAGTTGTGCCACTTGAAGAATTGATGTCCAGAATTGATTTGACCTTTAACCATTTTAAAGGAAATACTAACAAATAGGGGTGGAAATGAAGGCAATTTCCAAATTCTAAGCAACAATATCAATCACTGTCCTACAACTTAGCATTAATTAATTAAAAGATTACTGCACTTCCTGCATGTTTCAATTTTTTCTGCTCGTATCCAACAGATTCAGTATGCCAAATGCAGGGCTGATTAAGGTCGTCTTGTAGTCAGCAGCCAGCCGCCAAATGAACAGCCAAACTGAAAGGCCTTCCAAGAGTGGCTACGAAATGAGCGATGAGGCTTGTAATTAGAGTCAGAAAAAAATTTATAGGCTGGAAGTAAAATTAGAATGCCTAAAAGAGAAGCAAGTTGAAACATTTGAAACAGCATCTGAGCATTATTTATTGCATGAGCCATTAAAGACCCCAAACTATTGGTGGGTTATTTAGGAAAAATAGTTATGTGTATATACATATAACTGGCCATTTATATTTCAAGTTCAATAATTGAAGTTTCTAAGTTTGGGAGTCTTGTTGGGCATAACTGTTGTAACCGCAGAAATTAATGGTTGAAAATGGAACATCCTCTCTTGCCATGAGTGATTTTTGCAAAGTGCTTTCATAAATAGGGATTTTTTTGTCAAATCCGGAAGGAATTGCTTAAGTGTACGCAACAGTGGTGCTATGTGGAAGTACATGCTTGGAACTTTTTCCAAAAGTTTTCAATCAAATTTTTTTCAGTCAGAAATTGTTTCTTCTGTTTGTATCAATTCTCTTTTATAAATTTTATTTCAAATGACTTTGCAGCTTATCCATCTTTATTGCACACTCTCTGATTTGTTGTTCATATATTCCCTTTTCAAAGTTGGTTTTCGGTTCCAGAAATTAATTTTTTTTTTCAAATTTGGCATTTATTCTTTTGTGTAATTGTTCTTAGCAACCTTTTCCCAATTTACTTTGTGCTTCATTTGTGGCTTATCCATCTGCTAAATGTACCCCACTCTGGATTAATCTTGTATGCAATGTAATGCACACAATGTGTATATGTATAAAGGAGACAGTTATACGGTAAATCACTTTATTTTGTGAGAAATGTCACAAATAAAAATAAGGTTTTTTTAAATTCAGGCTGTACATTGTTTCTTGTTCTTAATTTGGCACCAGAGTGCAAATCAAAATAAAAAAACATTTATAAATGTGTTGATGAAAGGTTCAAATGGAAAGTTGTATGCCATTTACTTTCAAAATAGTTCATAATTTATTAATCTCATAAATAGGTTTTGTACAACCAAATTGTCTGCATCGGAAAAAAGACAACACAAATGAAAAAATCTCCAGCACAAAGAATCAGTGCATAGCAATAAAAATGGGATAGCAGACAATTCCATGTGAAAGGCACTTCTTCATATCAACAAATCAAAAATATATTGGAAACTATTCCCATGCAAGGCTTCTCTGTAAGGCCATCAAGATGCATGACAAATTCATTTCCTCAAGGTCACCACACATCCTCCAAGAAGTAAGACTCCATTTGGACTGGACTCCAACAGGATCACCCATTTCATCATGCCAACTACTAACTCAAACTAACTGGGCATGTTTGCTGGGAACCTCTTAAACCCTCCAAAACCCTCTAGAAAACCACTGACAAATCCTCTGTACTGGAACTTCCAAGAGGCAAGCTATTAGCAATGGTGGCTGGTCTCTTCTCAATCCTGCCAAGTCCTGCAACTGCAAATCCTCTGAAATCTGGTAGATTTTGAGGGATTTGGGAATTTAGAGTCGAGGTCAAGGTCTTTGCAATAGTACCCAACAGCCTGGTGTATTAGTTATTGTAAAGCATCAACAATTCTCTATGAAATAACTCCATTTGCACACCGATCCACTCATAAAGAACTGCAGAGGTCTGTGCAGACCAGCGTCAGTAAGATACCAAAATTATGAGAATGTGGTCAGTGCTCACTTGTCTCTCTCCTCTAGATCCACACAGAGCCAGCAAAGCAAGTCTCTGGTCTGCCCAATTTGCCATTTTGTCTTACAGTTCAATTAAGTCATACATTCCCTCTGGTTCAGTCTCCGTTCTGCAGGCTTTACAACAAGCAAATTTGCCAAATCTGTATAAAACTACTCTCTATCTAAAGACTACTTTTTCATAAATACACACATACATGTAGTTGGATAAAAACAACTCATTACAATCACTCATTGACTTAAGTAACAAGCGTCACTGTCATGAAGAAAATTAAATAAAATTTTAAATAATTCAAAGTACATGTAGATAGACTGGCCGAATGATTAAAATTTCCTTCATGAAGAAAAAACACTAAAATAAAATTACAGCAGTCCAGTAACCAACTGAAAAAGACAGACACAACAGTGGTCTTATAAGCTTTGAGTACATGTATTTGCATTTTGAGTTGTAGCTCCTCGCTTTCATTCTACATTAAATTAAACTTTTTTATTGATTGTACAAAATGTTTCAACACACACAAACATTCGTCAACAAGGTAAGTCCCCGGCTTGATTCACAGTGGTCGTGACTGGATCAGTGCAGTGTCAAATAGAATTTATTAACTGTATGATTGCAGTGAAAAGGCAAAAAAGTCATAGTTGTGTAAAAAAAAAAATATGATGCAAGATGTGGGATGGAGAGAACCCCACCCCGCCTTTGTGTTGGTCATTGTTTGATCGGAATCTCAGGAATTCTTTACAGACTTCTAGGGGGGATGTGTTATGTAACAATCTAGAGTGTGTATAAGGATCGGATGGGGGGTACCCATAGGTCCCACAATATGCACAGGAAATAAATATTAACAAACCACTGCCTTACAGTTGAACATGCACAGATTCTTTTGTGGCTTCTGAGCAGATGATTTTTTTTTTCATTTTTCAAGGTTACACTGGCTTTGAAGTCCTGATGTGGGCATCACAAACTTTCCATGTGAGAAAAATTATGACTTATGATTAAAATAAGATGCTATGTACATAAAATCATTCCATTGGCTTACACGATGTTTAGTACTGATTACATGACATAAGAATCAAGTGATTACCAAATTTATCCAATGCAATTCTTACATGCTGATAGCAGATGTCAGGATGTACATCTGACATAGAATGTTAAAAATACAATGTAAAACATGGCCAGACGTTCCTTGTTTTCAGTGTACTTGTGGCTGAATCTACAATGCTGTTTTGAATTCTTTTTTGCAGTTTTGTTTTGTTTTTGTTTTTTCCTTTTTTTTTCCATTTGTGTTGCTTTGTTTTGTCGAGTGTTTGGATGTGCTTTATTCCTTGTGACACTAGATTGTTCTCTTAAGTAGTTGCTTGGCTGCCTTTAAGGGAAAAAAGTGCATACAATGAACAGTTGTTACTTTATATTTTGTCATTAACAGAAAAGCATCTGCTAAACACATTAAATGTGACATTCAATCCGTTAACAGTGATTAAAAAAGCTGAGAGCTTCACTACAGAGCTCGAAGTTGGGTAGATGGAAAAGGAGGCCACACAGAATGACTTGTGTCATATGCATATTCTACTCAGAAAGTGTACAGTACATACTTTATGTGTCCTGAGCATATTAATATGCATATGACGCACATCTTCTACACAGCCTTCTTTTCTGTCTATCTCAAAGTTGCAAGCTTCAGATCTATGGTTTTAACCTTTGTTAATGTACACGTGACAGCTTGAAGTCACGTTAAATTTTTGCATAAGATTTCTCCACACAGTTGCCTTTAAAATATAAAGCTCTCTGTTTTATACATGGTACAAATACTGATATGCCATAATTTGAATGTTTTTTCAATGAACGAGTGCAATTTTTCCAGTTTGTGGCTGATGAAAGAGTTGATGTGACTGTTTGGATTGCACTTGGAATAATCACTGCATTGATATTTACAAGTACGGTCATTTTCTAATTCTGTGAACTTAAAAAAAAATTATCTACATGCTTTTTTGCAATAAATTGCTCAAACCTTTAAGTTTCAAGACGTTATGCTCTTCTTTTGCCAGATCTGAAGCCAAAAGACCTGTTTGTTTTTGAAATAATTATTTTGCAATCCAGAATTTCATTCTTGAAAGAAAATTGAAATATATAAAGAATGTTTTGGTCACATAAAAACGAACAACATGCACCAAAACAATTAATACAACACAATCAATTGGACAAAAAGGAAAATGCTGATCCGGCCGCGGAGAAAGACACCTAATGAAAAGGGTAAAAAACAGGAAAAAAAGCCAAATTACATGCTCTGAATTCTCAGTAATTTCAGTGGTGCAATTTGGTATATCCCCAAAGCAATCCACAAACTGACATCGATACCAACCTGCCAATCGCTTGGAAATCATCAACATTTCCAAGATTGGTATTTTGTCCCTTGGGTTTGCAAAAAGGAGGAGTGTCTTTGTGGGCTGCTCTTGAATTACTTAAAGACAATTGGGTACTGCTGGTTTAGTCTAGTTAAGACCTTTTTGAAGGTCTTTTCAAACTTCCAGCTGAGAGCAGGGTTAGATTTGCTGCATTTCACCATGGTGACGGCCTTGCCATCTTGGCCCTTGGAGACAGATGGGAGAATACTAAGGCACAGCTCGGAGGTGGGGTGATACAAAAGCTTGTACGTCTGCAAAGAAGCAAAAGGAAGAGGATTTTAGGTAATTTTGAAATATTTTAAACAGTTACTTAACATGGAAATTATTTGTTTGACAATTTTACAGTAGATTTGTAAGAATGAAGATGGATTGCAACATGGAAAAGATACATGTACTTAAAATATCGAAATAGCTTGTTCTTAAAAATGGTATTGAGCTTTCAAAAATGTTTCTGTTACATAATAGCCATGATGAGTGGGAGTTTTCCTGTTCTTGTTCTCAAATTCTTGGTGAACTTCTCAAATACTGAAAAATAGGAGCATTTTCCAGGTTTATGGTATATACTAACAATACTGACCAGGGACGTTTAAGGGCCTACAAATTTACACTAGCTTAAGTGGTTTTACATTAATTTCTGCAGGGCTTTAATAAACTTCTACCCCTGGATAACACTGTTCACAAAATAGGGAAATTCTGGTGTTAAAATTTGAGTCAGTCTTACCGGATTATAAACCCATAATTGGTTGCCCCTCCCACCGTGGCAAGGGTACAAAATGGGCTCCCCTCCCTCCACACGGTTGGGATAGTCCACACACTGCTTCTCATTCCTACCAGGTCGGAGGTCATCATGCCAGGATAAGGTGAAGTACTACAAGAGATGTACATTCACAAGTATTCACATTGTTCATATTAAAGGGTGGTTCTCTTTATTTGGTCTGATATTGTTGGATTATTATTAGTAGTAGTAGATGAGTCATGGGGGGGGGGGTAAAACACCTGTTGACAAACCTGATTTCCTCCTTTCTTTTGCCTGCTTGGCAAGCAAGGCTCTAAAATAATTTCTAATTTCCTTCCTTGGGTGAATGTTAAGCACAGCCCACTCTCCACGTGTTGCATCTGGGGAAAGGAAGAACCAAAACAAAACCAAAACTGTTGAAGTTACCACTGAAATACTGAGCAATGACTTTTGTTTTTAATGGGCTTTCTTAGATTGGAGCCCAACCTAAATGAAGCTGGACTCATCAACCCTGCAACCTCTGAAATACCACCGGTGCTCTTCAGACTAAGTTACACAGCCTTATGGTAGCAGTCTGCGAGACAGTTTAGCTGGTAGAGCACAAATACGGTATTCCTGAGGTGGAACATATGAATCCTCTTCAGTAAACTTAACATTCAACTTGCTTGTGGTTCCCTGCATAGATTGGTTGGTGCAGTCCAACTTTACTATTTCAATGGTTATGAATTTAAAACCCATTTCACTTTTACTGCAGTCTCTGGATAGTTCAGAGAATAATTGAGTGAAATATTCCAAAAGTTTCAGGATCCCTTTCTACTCCTGTTTTTTTATTCAAAATGTTGATAATCTTCCTGATTAAGGTGATATGTCAATCTTAATTTGGGTGCTGCAAAGGCTGAAAGATCAGATCCCACCTGAGAAAATTTTGGGGCTCTAAATTTATATACATTAAACCAATGGGAAAGTGAAGTTTTCCTACATATTCCTTGATGAATTTTTAATTAAAAGATGAAGGGGAACACAATGAGCCATCCTCCACCATCAGGCAAACAATCAGAGAGAGGGAGTGACAGACAAAAGCCAACTTACAAAGCCCGTGGCGCCAGGGTCTGGCTCCACCGGTGGGTAGTACTGCATTATATCTGGTGCTATGACGTTCATGAAATAGGTAAAATTCTTGCACTGTAGGCGCTCTTTCAAGGCAAGCTGCTTGCTGATGTCGCCGTAATTCATGCCCTTCAGGTGAGGCTTGTGCATGTAGAAATATTTCTTCCAGTCATCAAACCAAACCTCCACTACTCGCATCAGATTCTATAAACACATATGGTCCTCTTTAGTTAACCCTTTTTTGAATCAGTTAGCCTGTAATGGACTCTTTTGCAATTATGACAAAGGCTGAATTCTTACATGAAAACTGTTTTGATCTACCAAGCATATTGACGTAACAAGGGGTACAGCAGGCATTAAAACTGGCACAAAAGACAATCTTGTCCGAGTCCCAAGGCTTCACATTACAGGTAGAAATATAAGTATTTGTAAAAAACATGTTCTGAAATATCAAAGGGTTTGCTGAATGACTCAGTTGTCTGTGAATCTGAGTCTTCCCTTTTTCAGGCTGTAGGTCCACACACCGTCCAACTCATTCAAAGTACTTGGCCAACACAACCTCAATGCTCAAGCTTTCCACCATCTGTGCATTATACTTATATTTACAGGGAGACTCAGAGAGGAATTTGACTAAAACTTGTAGACTTTTCTGTGTGAGTCATACTTTTAAAAAAAGATGACCTCAGGAAACAGGGCCAATATTTGGCAAATCAAAGAATATTGCTCCAAACGTCTTATCCAGGATGTCAAAATGACCTACCCTGAAAAATATGTCTCTGTCTTATCTGGGACCTTTCTCAAAGACAGCGCTGTGCGCACATTTTTCCCCATTCTCGACATGTAATTGGTTCTTTAAATACCCTTGCCTCCAAAAGATGTCCCTTTTCTTAGAGGCTGTACAGGGTGCCATGTGGCCTATTTATAAGAGCCTACTCTCATTCATGCACTGGTTCACGTCAAAACCGTCCTCGGGCAAGGATCATGTACACACTGCGTGTGACTAATGCTCACCTACATCTGAAGTAACCAGGAGAGTGCACATGAACATGAGTTCATCAAAAAAAGGGCCAACAAGTGCACTACCCTCAAAGCACTGAGGGTTAACCCTGACTACCTCGGGTGAGCGAGAAATTCCATCAAAATTGGAGATCAAAGGAGTTGACCATGCACTGAATCCATACAGAAGGAGGGTGTTTTATTCCCTTGGCTTTGTCACTCACCTTGTGTATGACTCCGCCTCCTCCGGGCACTGTGTAAGACATGAATTTCCGATAGACGTGCCCCACCCTGGAACAAGGTACTTCCTCCATCTCTCCCCCACACAGCCACACCTTGAAGGAGAGGTCGTACTGTTCCCCGCCCCACACCTCCAAGCCTTCATCGTAACCCCCCAACTCGTCAAAGAAGTAGCGGCGGTCCACGGCAAAGAGACCACCAGCCATGATGGGCGTCCTGCAAGAATTCAAGGCAAAAAAATCCAAGGTTTGGAACATAGCACTGTCTTATCATGAACGGGGGAAGTTTTCAACACTTTGGCTGGACACTGCTTGCCATGAAGGAACAGTAAACGGTACTGGGAGATCATTCCCAAAACCTTCTGTAAGGAGACAAACCACATGTGTGCACTTGTATTGTGCAGAGTAACCAATTTTCATCTGAACGTGTACAAATGCATTGTGTCTTTGTACATTACTTGAATTCTACACCAGACAATTTTAGGTATCAAAATACTGCTGAGAGACTAGCCAAATGAACCATTCCGTGTAAGTCAAATAGAAATTCCCCCCTACAGGTGTCTTAGCACACTGCAAGCCTTGCAAGAAGTACTACAACTAAAAATACAACAAACCCGGATTTGAACATGCTATTAATAATGGCAGACTCCTACACTTTGAACAAAGTTTTAAAATTACAACAATCAAACCTTCTTCACAGCCTCAGCTCATGGGTAGACCTTCCCCATATGTACAAAATCAAAACCATGTTATGGGGACATAAATTTTTCCACCATAATATTTTTGGTCCCCATACAATCTATATATTTCAACATGTGTGTCGCGGTAGCTACAATAACCTAGTAACAAGTACAGATAGTTTGGACTTTCCGCTACGTATAATTCTAAAAAATGTTGTCGAGTAATGCTTGAAATACAAAGGGTACATGGTGCAAAATTGATCTTGAACCATAACTGTCAAGAAAAAGTAACAAGACAACCATGGACTGGCTGCCTGAAATGCCTAGCTTCACCTGAATTTAATGATTTTTCCAGATGATTTGAAAACCAATCAGTCAGTGACATTAATAAGTTGCAAAGAGCCACAATGAAGAGTGTACAATTAAAAATTGGGCCATGATTCAGACTTCCGAGTCAATGAACCTCCACCATACCACAACCAGTCAACAGGAAATTGGTTTTTATTACTTAAGCCTTTTGTATATTTTTGCCCTAATTGTTTTGCAAGAAGCAGGTGGGATATATAGGCAAGCACGATATGGTTGTAGTTCTATGTACATGTGTCCCTTACAGCCACTATGTATGCTATGATGATGAATCTAACTAGAATCAAGTCTCATTTGGTAATGCCTATTAACGGAGCACACAAATCTACTGGACCCTACAATGGAACTAACTGCATTACTTGCATCCCATAGCCACCTTTACAAAGGGCAGTCATTTGGATAAGTGTAGAAGACATACATTTTTCTTTAAACAAGACCAGGGGTGAGACCGAACCACAATGAAAAATCCATGAACTTCAGTTGTGTACATGTATAAATGTTAGGTCTTGAAGATCTAACATTATATTTGTGGCATAGTGCCCATTTTTGCCTTATGGAAACTTTCGAAAATCCAGAATTTCCAGCTTACACGACATTTCACAATACGAAGCAGACAGACTAATCTAGATGTGGATTGTAGAGCCCAACACCCATAGAGGCAGTCTGGTCCCACTTACATGTATGGGAGGAATTTCATATGCAATTACATTACAACTAAAGTTGAAAAAAATTCACATAAACTGTCTCGCTCAAGGAAACAATTTATTGCATAAAGCACTCATATAAAAGTTCCACATAGAACATGCATAATGCAAATAAGTTTGGGTCCATGATGCATACTTGACCGGGTCCGTGTCAAACTGTCTGCGTTTCATCTCTGCATTGTTGATAGGAATCCTTTTATAGTAAAGCTCCCAGTCAAAGGCCCCCCGCATGATGTCACCAGCCTGCGACTCGTAGTGGAAATCCTCGTTGCCAATGACATCAATCATGGGGCAGGCGATGCACTTGCGGTTCAGGGCAATGCGTTCTGTAGAAGGATGTAACAATTGAAGAATGGCAGTGAATCACAAAGTCTGTGACATACAGTGAGGATGCTTACCTCAAGTTTACAGCCGCTCATCTGGTTAACAATACAAATACGGGCACATGTATGTGAAGGCTTCGTTAGTCACTACAGATGCAATGAATATGCTATCAAGAAGTTTTCGTGAGGTGTTAGACACCTCTCAAGGAAGGTAAAGGACAACTAGCCTGCAAAATTGGGAGGGGGGTCTTATATAATGAATTACTTTAATAAACAAAATGAATTACTTTAAAAAAGAATAAAGATGTCCTTTGAAGGGACTTTCCCAAGTCTGATTATATTTTACAAAACAATTGTGTGGTTTCAGATTGTTCCAGTGTATTTCCTTGCCGTGGTTTGGCCAGAGAAGCAGCATGAAAGAGGTACAGAAGAACCCCACATTGGTAGAACTTTTGTTAATTGGTTTGTGCATGCATCCGTATGATTTGTTTCTCAAAGGGGGAGATGGAATTCAGGAAGATAGTGTGAGAGAGCTTTCATCAACATTCAAGTTTCATAATCAATTTTAAATACACTTGGAAGACTTTGTACGAAACAAAGTTGGGGATCAACCTACCCAATAAAGGGGGTAACCAGTTTGTGTTAGCTTCACAGTGGGAATCAAGGTATATCAAAACCTCTCCCGTTGCCTGGCGACCACCATATAGTCTGGTCCTGATCAGGCCCTCGCGCTTGTCCATTCGCAGGATCTTGACTTTGGAAAATCGCTGCATGTATTCCTCTAGAGGCTGTTTTAAATATTCTGTAATCAGAAATTTCAAACAATTGGAAAAAATAGAAAAGATAAAAGTCTGAATTCAGCTACTTACAGATAATATTCATTTATAATCTTTTAAAAAGTATGATATATTCAGCCCCCCCCAAAGCCTTATGAAATCTAATATCACTTTTAAGAAGTTCCTTTATGGTTAAAGTAACGTCCATTACCAACTGTCAAAAGGAAAATTTAAACTATGTGTGCATTTAATAGACAGAATAATGCACAAATATTTGTAAACAATTTCGCTCCTTGAAAAATTGCATTTTGAAACATTTTTAAATTCTCCAAACAGCTCCTGTCCCTATTTTCTCCGTATGTCCACAGAAACACAGCATTCATTGAAACTGATTGCCTACACTTCATAACTACAGTTTGGATATAAGTAACTATCCCAATCAATACTGATAAATGCAACACAGGATAACAACTCCAGCTGTCACACAAGGATGACCAACTGTAATGTTCTCAGTAACTTCCCCACACCAGGTGTAACAGGTTTTTACCACTGACAAAGGGCCCATTCATTAGTCTGGTCAGATGCACTTTCATGACCATTATTTGACACAAGTTAGCACTGAACTCTGCACATCAGCAGAGCTCCTGGTCACTCATTGCTGCATATTACAAATGTTTATCCTGTGTTTAAGGGGAAAAGCCAGCAAAGTAAGGCCAAGTCGAGAAGTTATGGCTACGACCAGCCACAGCACACACATCTATGAGAAAAAGCTGCAGTCATTGGCAAGTGGCTATCATAGACACCCATGTTCTTGTCAGCTGCAGCCAAGTATAAATAGTGACCCGGGCTGAGGTTCTATTTCAACACATTTTTTTCTGGGGATGGAAACAGAAAGTGGCGTCTTAAATAATTTGTTCATACATCATCCAAAACAGAATGAAGTGAATATAAACTGAAACCAATCTGTGTAAATTATGATCTTCTTTGCCATGATTTATGAACAGTAATTTCAAAACTAAGAGTTTGTATGTACATACTCAGCTAAAGTGTACACGACCGAAACGAGACCATGCATAGCTTAGCCACACATGAGAAACAGTTCCTGTTTTTTCTATCTTGATAGACACTTGGGTGATTGGCTAAGGAAATGGTTTCCCTTAATAACATCTGGGCAGCTTTAAGTTTCCTTCCTGCTACTAATCGGACAGATAACAAGTTCCTTGAATACTACAAGGTGGCAAGGACTGGAGCTTTGAATAGACTGCTCCAAGTTGCAAGGGAGTGACTTTTCTAATGCAAAAGGTTGATTTTATTGACTGAGTACAAATATCAGACACATATGATACAGCGTGTGGGTATTCAATAGCTCCATGCTCAAACTGACCAGACCAGTGTAGTTACACATGATATCTCACTTATCTTGAGTTAAACAAACTATTGCACTAAATGCTAACAAGACAAAACTGGAGAACACTTTCCTTCTACAACACTCTCTTGGACAAAGTGCGCAAACTCCTACTTACAGCAAACATGTTGGGAAAGTGAATTTGAAACTAATGGAAACAGTCCACTACTTTTCAGAGTCATGTTTAATGTGCATGTTGTTGTCTCCTTGTGAGAACATCATGCATCTCAAAACAGAACATGTCATGTTCCCCTCGGAGTTCTTTGGTTCACAAACACTTCTCCTCTTAACATCTTTCCAAATCCCTTTTGTCTCAGTTGCCCTATAGCTGTCTGCATCGCCACATCATCAATTGCCTCCTCCAACCCCCTCTCCTTCCCCCATCTCCTCCCAAAGAGTGCTCCCTAGGGACGGATCCTGAACTGTGACTGCAACACCTCGTGAGGCACGGGCCGACGTTTGATAAACACTGGACTTGATTGAGCGGGAGGTGATGCACTACTCCAAAATGCGTGGGGAAGGGAGGGGGTGCGGATGGAGACGGTGGATGAATTATGGATGGGCTGAGCAAGTATCAGGTGGGATCAGCTAACGGAGTATAAAGTGTATTGACAAAGCAAATACAAGCAAGCAAGATAGACTAATGAGCCTGTAGGTCTTTGAAGCCAATAATGTTAATTCCACGCTTGATTTCTCTGCATTAGATATGCATCTGGATAGTCACCAAAATGAGGCATTGGTACACATACACAAACTGGATGTGAATGGCTTCTTTAGACAAAAGCATACCGGATTACCAGCTAAAACCACTCTGTAGTTCACATGTTGGTTTTTAGGAAGCCACTTCAAACTTTCTGCTTGACAAATTGAATAATGAGGCTGGAATTTTCACAATTCGTTTTTCCGAGTACACACAGTGCCAAGTACAGGCCGAGTATGACTACTTTTTAAAGGAGTCCTGGGCCAAAAATTTGAGTTCAAATTTTTCAGAGTCTGAGTACAGGCCGAGTATAGTACAAAAATAATCAAGTACATCCGAGTACATGGTAAAACTAAAACATTATGGAAATTTGCATTGTTATGTGTGATATGTAAAGTACTTACCCTGTATTCCAAGAAATTAACAGGTATACATATTAAAAAGTGTTGTTTTGGCTTGGAATTCTTGATTTATTGACGAGATAGCTCTTACACACCTTGCAACATAATCTCTCTCATTCTGGAGAACAGGAAAGGTGTCAGATTTTTATATTTTGTTTTGCCCAACCTTATTCCCATGGATACAATCTTTCCGTGCCAAGGAACGCACACGCAGCCCATGGAGAGGAGGTTGCGATTTCCTTTCTGTCCTCATGCCCTGGATTGATTTCGCTGGTGTTCTTCCAGTAGTGAGTAGAATAGTAAAGAAAGTACACCAGCAATACTGCGAGTGCTGCAGTGCTGCCAAGTGCCAATAACACCCATTCACGAATACTTGATTAAGAGTCAATAAAAATACTACACGACTTGTAACGTGTAGCTTACACTATGTGTAATTTTGGTCAAAGTTTAGTATCAACAAATTAGTATCGAAAAGAATCCCAATTTCTTTTCAAGTACTGTGCAACTGGGATCATGTTAACCGAGAACAATTGGTTGAGTTTAGGGACGAGCTTGAGTACAAAATTACAAGTACGTGCTGAGTACTTTTCCCCGAGTAATTATGATTAAGTATGGGCCGAGTACTTATTGGTACTCAAGCTGTACTTGAGTTTGAGTATGAGTACTCAAAAACTGACTTACTTATAACAGAAGGATAAATGCAGACACTGCCTTATGGCTTGAACAAAATTGAACAAAACGCACTGAATGAATTCATGTAGATGAGTTGTGTCGGCTCCGCTGTCTTGGTGGCATAAGCAGCTGGGTGATGTTACATTCTGTATATCTACATGTGACACATGACCTGAATGACCACCACACTTCTACGTCTTGAAATACTGAAGCTTTCAAGGGGTGGAATCGCCACTGAAACTCTTGTTCAGACAACAAAACATAAAATTTTTTTTTTTTTAATTTCGTCTTCTTCCATGAAGATATGATAATTTTGATTTGATGTGATCGGGATTGAGCATTTGGCTGCAAAAGATAAAGCTCTGATGGTCTTTGAACCCAATACGTTATAAGTTGCAGCCTCTGATCCTGAATAACGTTGCAAATGTCAACATTGAAATAAACTGAAAACAACTGTGTTATAAAATGATCTGATGGGTTACAAACTCACTGCTATGATTAATTCCAAGCTTTTAGTGAGCTGCACTTTGATGAATAATTCCTTAAATGTAGAGGTTAGAGGGTGTACTAAAGCAAAAGTGCCTACCCTGAAAACGGTGCCAAAAATTGAACCTTTATAAAACACGCCAAAAGCAATGCATGGGAACGGTACATCTGCCTTGTACTGGTAAATGTACATGTAGTTTGAACAGTAATGTCCTTCCTTAGCAAGATTCAATCTTAACACGAGAATGAAAAGCCAATGACGTTCTTTGCAATATATGCACTTGTCTCTGCCTCACTTTCCAAGAGCCAGTGAGGATGGTAACAGTACTATCACCCAGATGTTTCCCATTATGATATTTTAGGATCGAACGATAATGCCGATGCTGTGACTATGAATTCATTTCCTATGCCGGGCACAGCCTCGTAACCTGGTTTTAGCATGTGCCATTCCAGTCAACTTGAGTCGTTTCTTCATAATTGATGCATTAAAATTGGCAGCTGGGGACGGCTCTGCGGCATGCCGGCATGAGGAATAGTCATCAGGCATTTCTCTGAATAATGAAAAGTTGAACATCTCAGCATGTGATAGGGTAAGAAAAATGAAGGAGATAAAGATGCAAATAATAGCAGACTGGTGCAACACCATCCTTGGGAAGTGGACCATTGCAATAGCTCAAAAAATTTCAGGTGCAGAGATGGAAAAAAAATGTTAGTAATTAAGTACATGCAGATTATGCAGTTCTATACACACACAAAGGTTTCAGGATTAATGCCATGAAGTGCTCTACAAAACTCTCATTTCAGTAGGCAGATAAGCTTGGATAAAACTAAAACTTTTCAGTTATGTTTTCCATTTCAGTTTATTGCAGCATGGATTTTTCTCCAATTGAAAGCCAAATTTAATTTTTGTGTCAGTAATTTTTCTCAGTGTTTGAAAACAGTTTAAAAAATGACAAACGGTAATTTTAAGGGAATCTGAGAACAATTTGAGGAAACTAAATCTACACGATGTCTTTGTCTTAGGTCTCTTTATGTGAAAAATACATATATTTTGTTGTGGATTTGAACAAATTCTGAGGATTATTCCCAACTCTGACAGCAGGGAAATAATGTTGAAATCTGAAATGTTTGAGACACAATTAGTACCACTCAAATGATAAATATGAAAAAATGCTGCGCGTTAGAATCAGGTCCTAAGTTATCAAATGTGTGTACTTACTGCGGTCGCTGTAGTCATCCACAAGGATGATCTCGTGGATCAGCTCAGGGGGTGACTGGTTGATGACGCTGTGGACCGTGCGCTTGAGCGTTGACATGGCCTCGTTGTGGAATGGAATCACAATGCTAGCATTGGGCAGCTTCTCTAAGTACTGGATCTCCTTACACCTGAATTAAAAAAGAAGGAATGGAGATGACTTGTCCGTGCCAAACACTTTCACAAACTAGCATACCGTTGAATAAGGTTTATAAACTGACATTATCTACTGGTGAAATGCACAGTTGAATTCACCCAAAAAACTTGGGTAGTTATGACGTCGAGTACAGGTTGATTTATGTTTTCCTAATTGGTGGAAAAATATGAGAAGTGTATGGTGATGCACAAAATTTCAAGGAAAATTGAAATCCCTGAGTAGGTTTTCAACAATCCTACCTCTTGAAGTGTCTCCGACATGTCAAAGTTTTCTTCTATCCTCCTCCACGGTTAAGTAGACTCTAGGCTTAGGTTCAAGTGAACGGGATGTCAGTATGACAGTGTTAACTTACCTCAGGTTTCGGATGTCTTTGAGAGATCTGTCCAATGAGATCATGTCACTGACCCGTTCGTTGAAGCCGTTGGCTTTGGTGTCTGCAGCTGCAGTCCTCTTCAGGTCCGGGGTAAGAACAACCCCTGTGCCATGCTCACCAGGACCTGAATAGACGCAATGAGATGAACTATATGCTTACAAATGTTCCTGCTGTGGGATTTTGATTTTCAAAAAAAAAAAAAAACAATTGTATAAATTTGAGGCGTCTTTTCAATATTCCCATCCATTTCGTCTTTTGACTGCCATCATGGGAATTTAAATTACGTCCCCACAGTTCGGTAAAAAAATGTTTTCAAAGGCAGGATCTTCAGAGAATCTGAAATAAACAATTTACAAAATCAGCATGTACACATGTATAAGAGAACTCAGAAACAAAGAAAAACAAGTGCATGCAAAAGTACAACAAAGGAGAATAGTGATGCCACAACTCCTATGTTGATTTTTTGTAATGAATATACATGTACACTGTATTACTAAAACAGGATCTGACCACTGGACTTATCTGTTGCCATTCCGGTGTTCTACCTGGCAATATATCTAGTCTGCAATAAATGAGGGGAAAGAAGCCCTTTCCATTCAAGCTTGAGCACCAACCTGTTTTCAATTTCTCAGCCTGAATCCTCTCATAGTCGTGCCAGTCTTTCTTTCTTAGTACCTGTTCCCCTACTGCAAAATTTCTGAACTGGTTGCCACCACCAGCAGCCCCTGGGGGCAGGGCTCCATTCTGTTGTTCATGTACCGTGGGGGGGGGCACAAAAACAACCAATGGTATTAAAATTAGGATGAAGTATTGCACAAATTATCACACAGAACAAAAAGTTAAAAAGAAAAGATGACGATGGTTACAATTAACTTTTACACATTTGGAGGATGTACCCTGGGTGAAAAATGTCGAGCATGAGTATCAATCAATTTAACCACCAACTCAGCAAAATTCTACATTTTCTATAGTGTATGGAACATGTACAAATTCAACGTTAATAGTAGGGTAACAATAAACAGAGATTCCCTTCTTCGAGAAAAGGACCACTTTTAGGCATAACTGACAAACAGGAAATTGGGCAGTTTTCCTGAAAGACAAAAAATCGGGGAAGGAAGAGAAGTACATGTATGAAGCATGTGTATGTGTATGCAGTATCAGTCTTGTACCGGTAAGACTGACGCATAACAGTCTGCAATTATAATAGAATGGAGTGATACTCAGAGAAAGGTCGCATTGGTGCAGGTGTTACAGTAAGGCATCATTTGTGGTACATTGAAGAGTTATTGATCTTTTGAATATACGGACTGCCCAGCTGTTTTGTTTCAAAAGTGAAAGACTAATTCAGCCGGCAGAAACTGTGACTGCGTCACCCCAAATGACAGTTGTTCTTTCACTGCAATATTAATATATCCTCTACAAGCTGATGTACATGCACGATGCTGACTTTGGAATTGAATATTCATGTACTGTTTCTCTTTTAAAGACCACTTTATTTTCTTGTGGAAGTGTCTTTACTTCTGTCAAGTCTGTCCTGACAAAGGGCTAGCCCACATGGGATACGTACTGTATATTAGCAACATTCCAGGGCAGTTTGTTGCAATACGGTGTTGGTAAAGGAAATTCTCTCACATATATGTACAAAACGAAACGAATCTGTAAAATTACATGCCTGGTCATTAAACTGAATGAACTACTGTGGCAAAATCCATGTAGTTATGTAGACAAAATTTCACATTCAAATCATACACTGTAGCTAGTTGTCCAATGTTTGGACATGGGAAAGACCCCTTTAAACTTCCAGCATTCTTCCCTTACCTGTGGTACATGAAGCCCAGGCAGTACTGCGTTATCTTGGTTTCTTCTAATGATGTCCCCGTCCCCTGCACCTGCCCCATCCCCATGTACTTTCCTTCCCTGTGCACGCCCGGGCTCCATGTCCTCTGATCCCTTCTTGATGAGGACTGTCCCCACAAAGAACAGCAGGAAGATAAAGACCAGGTATTGCAGCATGCGGCGTATGTGAATCCTCATGGTTAAAGTTAAGTTCTTTGCTACAAAGGATGACTTTTCCAAAAGAGGGCAAATGAACGAGGATTGACGTCACAGTCATTCACAATGTTTTCTTTGAGAACTGAAGCAGTGTCAGCTGGCAATATTTCCAGTATTACTCCTTAAACACGTCACTTGTCCCTTTGCAATTACATGTATGATGACTCTGTTGCTGCAAAAATGTCGGGAATACATGTATACTTCCTCAAGGCTGATGCAAATTTATGCTAAATTAATTACGTCCTTCAAAGTTAATGGGAAATGAAGGCACGAGTTTTGGAGCAAGTTCTCAGTCTTGACTTCACGTGGTAGATCCATGATAGAGCACAAAGAAACCTTCAGTTGATGCACAGCACAGATTCTTCAGTTCATGATTGAGTTCGATATTGACTGTCCTCAGACCTTTGTGAGTGTGAACATGTAGCTCTACATTACGGGACACAGCGTATGAACGATACCATCAGCTTCAGTTCACATGTGGCTCAGCTGTCTTGTGCTTAGCGAGCATGTAGTCACTGGAAGTGAGGTTATAGCACATGTACATGTACACATGTGTTTATGTTTTGGGACTTGGGACAACTCCCCAGTGAGCTGTAATGAGGCATCACATGTCTTCCTGCCTGCCCAGAACCCTTGCAAGCATTGTTAAAATCTGGTCACGGCTATAATCAATACTCCACGGAGAGGTTATTTCCTGCAGGCAATTTTTATGTGTTTTGGTCTGCAAAACAGAAAAAGTATGAAGTACGTGTGTCATTAGAACTGACAGGTTCATTTCTATGTTGATTACATCTGTTGACTCCTGACTAGCACTACAAGTAATACATGTACAGCACATGTAGAAATAAAATTAAATATGTTCAATGGCAGTGTTAACAGGTGAAGTGTGCTTAAACGTTCTGCTTTTATTACTGTTGCACTTTCATTCCAAAATACAGATGGACTAAAATTCTAATTGTAGTACACCTTAAAAATGACAAATTAATGAAAATAGAAACTACAGCTCACATAGAAACATTTTTAGAAATTGTGGAAATGTGGTGTTTACTGACTATATGCAACATGTGCCAAGAGGTACATGTACATGTAAGACAAAGGTTCCAAACAAACAACAGAAAGACCCAGAAAAGCTACAATTAAATTTTAAAAAGTGGTTAAAACCCTTTAAGTTCAGAAGTTGAAGAATATCTGATTAACATATCTTTAAAAAGTACAATTATTTTCTTTATTTCATTCATTCACTAGCTGTGATTTAAAATGGGCCTGGGCGTGCGACATTTTGATGTTTGTTTTAACTTTATTTTAGTATTTTATTTTCCCCTGTGGGAACGATTTAGTAGCCCAGCACAGGAAGCAACAATAAGCCTTATTGCTAATACCGCATGAGTAATTTGCTCAATGGTAGAAAGGCATTGTGGGAAGGAAAAGGAGGCAATGTTTGCTCCTTTTTCCTTCCCACAATGCCTTTCTACCATTGTGCAACATCACCAATGCTGTATTAGCAATAAGGCTTATGAGGCATATTGGTTTTGAATATTAAAGGCAATGGAAAACAGGGACTAGGCCGAGGCATACTCAGTGGTCATTTAGCATCAACAAGCATCAACACACACAAGTAGCGTCAACAAAGTGTCAACGACTTGAAAATACCCTCTACAGATTTAAAAATCATTTTATCATATTTTAGAGACTTTAACACTTGCCTTTGTATAAGAAAAACACCATATTTGCTTCCGGAGTCTTGAAGGAAAACGAAAAGTTTTTTGTGATGTTAGGGGTCCGCCATCTTTCTTTCCTCTGCCGTCCACACGATGGCGGCTGGTCAGACTGCACAAACAGGCCCGACTTCGTCACTCAAGTTTCAACACTCAAATATCATTTCAGAAAAATACAATACATTGAATTTGATATGTAGGATCCTAATTAACATTTTATATTTAAAAAATCAAAAAAATATTATTTAAAAAAATGTTATTCAAGCATATTTATGCAAAGATTTGCATAAATATGCTTGAAAAACTTGTTGCCGCTCATTGATGCTTGTTGACCCTAAATAACATGACCCGTACTCAGCAGTACTACATAAGAGAGCAATTAATTTCCAGTCTCTAGCCACCATATGACTACATATCTCACCCCCACTCCACTCCCAGTAGGCCCTCGGTTCACATTCAGATCAAAGTTGCCTGTCACTTGTCAGCCTGTAGGCCTACTCACTGCACAGCACTAGGCTTGACCATGGAGAATGTGTTTTATTTCTCCATGGCTTGACAAATATTCAGTTCAGGTTCCGTAATAAGAATGACAAATATATTTATTTGTGTGGTGTAGTCGGAGATTATTGTTATTATCTTTCTACCTTCCTCTTTCAATATTAACTTCTGCCCCGCCCCTGAACATGTTGACATTGCCTGTTCAAAAAAAAACCTCACACGCGTACGCCCCGGCTCACGAAACCTGAGCCAAAAACTATATCAACTCACAGTTAAGGAATGAATTAACTTTCAAGAAATAAATCATAATCTAAATGCATTTGCAGTATTTATTATGAGACGGAAAATAATGGACTTTACTCACAAAAATACCCAGCTGACAAGGATATTCCCTGACAAGTAGCTAGTATTACTCTGCAGTAGCAGCATTAATTTAATGCAGTTGTACAAACTTTCACACAACCGTGCACGCACACGTACATGTACAGTACATAAGCAGACAGCTGATACCCGGCACCAGGCTGAAATTGGCACGAAATTCGGGCCGG